CCTTAGGAGACAAACTGTATGGAAAGAAAGTCTGGCTGGCGAGAAAAAACCAATTCCTGCTTTGAAAGGAGGTGGGTTCGCTCGTGGGAAATCGAGCTATGTCGAGGTTTCAAAATCCTTTGTCTTTCCTTTCACTTCTTACAATATGGCAGCCCAGCTCGAACTGAGTATTATCTACGATCCATCTAACTTGGTGCCGAAGTCAATAATTTTCAGGACGAAAGGACTCTTGGGTAAAACTGATTACGAATTACTCGAGATCACTTTGGAAGCCGAAGGTAAGTCAGATGATTAAATATTTTTAACGTTCTTTCTTGTCCGTTTAATGATTTGATTTTGCTATGAATTCAGCTTTAGAAATAAGCCAATTTTTAAATTGATCTAAATTCAGAAGGACAGCGAACTTTTGGTTAACAACCTGTGCTGACGAGTATGCCTAGCGAGGAATTTATTTATCCTGGATTTTCTTACTTTGGCTGTAAATCAGATAATAATTCAAGACAATTCGTAGATTACTATGAAGGGAGTGATTGCAATAATTCTTTTAGAGAAACAGACGAAATATCCCGCCGATATATCCACTATATCATACATCTATTTATTATTTAGTTAAGCTCTTTGGACTAAGTTCAGAAAACGTTTCAAAACTACAGAGAAAAATGAGCTCAATATGATTGGTTAGCGACACCAGAGTTCATTCCGTTTCTCAGCATTTTTTTTTTTAGCATTTGGAATGCCTCTTTCGTTCGTTCAATGTGTGTTCGGATCTCGATATCACATTTTCATATCTGTCTGTTCATAAATTCAAATTTTTGAATATAATTAATAAAGATGAACAACGATCAATTTTTTATTCAAAAGAAAATCGGGTTCAATATATACAAAATTAATTTTTAGAAATTCTTGTTTAAAATTGTTGCTTTTTTTATTTCCCTTTTTGTTACTTACAGGAATGGAAAAATTGATGCAATCTCTCTCTAAAACACATGGAAAGCCATTCTTTCAGAGGCTAATGGGGATTATACATTTCTTCAATGCACCACGAAAACAGGACGATGAAGATTTTACTTTCTTCTTAGAAAAAAAGATCGTCGATGAGCTGAAAGATATTCTACAGATGGTCAACTTGCCAGAAAATTCAATGCCTTCTGGATTTGTACACATAAAGATTTTCGGTAATATTATTTAACTTATCTTTGTGAAAATCATACGATGCTGTAAATGCACACATTTCTTGGGAGATTTCTCAAATTGTATTAATTTTTTTTATACTTTTGGCATTAATTTAATAATATCACTTTTGTGCTACCTTACATTAAAAAGAATATTAAATAGTGACACTTCTGTTTTTAACACATCCCCTACTAATGCCATTTGTGTTTTTATTAGTTGTGTTAGTTACTATTAGAAATTACTACGGAAGATCACTTGCGCTATATTCTAAGAAATAAAATAAATTTATTAACTACAAAGGATGGGAAATGAGCGCCTATATCCTGAAAGGGTACGGCACATAGAAGAAGAAGAAGAAGAAGAAGAAGAAGAAGAAGAAGAAGAAGGAGAAGAAGCTTTTTTTTAAATCAAATTTACCCCATGCTAGGCAGTAAAGCCACTAACACACAAGAGAATACTGAGTCTGAAAGAATTATAAAAGACACATTACAAGAACAATACTCGAGAAGTGAAACGAGAAGAGTAATCAGGAAGACAGTAGATAATGATTGACATGGCATTTACATTTTTGAAGATCAAAGTTAGCTGGAAAGCATGGAGCTCGAAGTGCGAGAGAAAACTGTTAGCATAAAATTTACTGCTAGATCTATCCTGTTCAAATGTAAATAGATGAGATATTGATGTTAGTCTAGTCCTGCGCTTAAATTCATAAAGTCTAGGTGCCATATCGAAGAGCCACCCAAACAATTACCATGAAATTATTTATAGAATGACATAGAGAGGCAATCTTAAAGCAGTGGGAAATTTAACTGTAAATTGATGGGACCATGTTGCTAATCTAGTACTGTGCTTAAATTCATAAAGTCCAGGTACCCTAGCGAAGACCTCACTTGAACAATTTAAATATTGTTTTCCATTCTCTTTCTTTTAATGGTGGACTATAAGTTTTTTACTGGATTAATATATGAGGATGTTGGAAGACATTCCTTTAATTTGATTTCTTTGAAACCTTTTTTGACAACATCTCGCCCAAGAGCTTGCAATAATTCTTTGTATTTAACTAGATACCAGCATCATTTCCGAAGAGAGCTATGATTGTACTGACTATAATACTAGCCCAAAACATTACTAAACTTCCCCGCTGATGTCTTCCAAATTATGTTCGCTGACTATTTCCATGAAGGACCCAATCTCAAACCTAGCCAACAGGTCCATCCAATATAGCTCTACACTCATCAGTAAACATTACTTTTGAGAAATTAGGTTTCACGTACTCAACTTTTATTTCTCATTGTGATGTTTACTTACACATTTATGGATTCTCTCTGCCGATATAAACTAAACTCGTCATGGAAGAGCATTAAAATTGCCTGATATTCCGAAAGGATAGAATTAAAGGTGGTAATTTTGTTCTTTCTTGTCTTTACTCAATGTTCTTAATAGCAGCGATTACGCAATATAAATGTTAAAGAAACAAAAAGTAAAAAAAAAAAAAAAAAGTCAAAATTCTTTATCAGTCAGTTATTTGCCATACGTGATACACGCTTAGGCGATCATGTATCGAAAGATGTTTCGATACATGACTGACGAGGCAGAATTTTTCCCGCTGAAGGTTGCCATTTCATTACTGTAGACTATTCAAGACTATAGAACCAGATCTGTCCTGCTTACCCATAGCTGCGAGAAGAAGAAGAGGATTCATAAGTTTCCCAAAAGTATTAGCACGAAATTGAATGAAATGAATTCGACTGGAATTCGAACTCGGCTCTCCGATTCCTCAATCCGAGTCACTATCCATTACGCCATCTTTCGAAATTCTTTATACTCAGTGATTAAAAGGTTAAAATATTTCGCCTAAAAGATGGACTCCTGGACTTAGGATCATATTTTTACGTAAAATGCTTGCGTCTATTCTGGGTGGGATCAGGAGAGGCAATATAATTGTTTGGTTCGAGGCAACGTTTGATAAAATATTGCATAAAATGTAAATAGAAAATATGAAGTTGCCCAATAGGAACTGCAACCAGAAATAATGACTTTTTTCCATTTTCTTTTTCATATTACTATAAATGAAGACCTCCAGATAACGAATAAAATTTAACGAATAATGAAAAGATGTTTTTCTTATTAAATGTTATAAAAGTTTTCAGTATAAATTAATTGTAAATTGATCTCCGCAAGTAAAAAGAAATGCTCATATAATATGTTTTCTAAAAACGTAAAAAAAAAAGATTTTTTTTTAAAATTCGTAATCTGGTCTATTTAATCGATAGTAATCTATATATAAAATTCTGTAAATTCCGTTAGTCCGTCTCATCCTCTAAAATAACCATACATTGACCGATCGAAATCAAATTTGGTGGGGGGAGTGCAAACAGGTAAGGGTTACAAAGTACAGTTGGTTTTACTAGGGTGTGGAGTTTATTAAAAAAAAATTAATTAATGTTTTTGGAAAAATTAAAAGTTGTATTATTTAACATACAAAATACTCCCACTAAACAAACAATTTAATAATTAGAATAATAAATACTTATTTATATATATATATATATATATATATATATATATATATATATATATATATATATATATATATATATATATATACGTATGTATTTGCATAACTTTTCTTTAAGTTTTGATATACAAGAATCTAGTTTCCACTTCGCCCTCCGTTTGCGAGAACTAAAACAAATCACAAAGCCAAACGCTTCAAAAAGTTGAAATTTGGGCCCAGAAAGAAATATTTACGCATATCCAGTTGTATGTTGCATGCTCAAGAGTAAGAAATCCCAAGAATTTATTCTTCGCTGTTACAAAGGAAAAAAAAGAAATTTTCTTTAAAAAATAGATTACTATGAAGTCCTATAAAATTAAATTAAATTAAAGAAATTAATAAACCGCGAAGTAGGGTTTTTTTACCAAACAAATCAGCTTATTCAAATTTCATCGATTGCTTGCGAAATTGAACGAAACGTAGGGTCTGTAAATCTCAATAAAAATATTAGTGATAACTTCAGCAATAATAAATACAGAGAGGATTTCAACACGCGTTAGTATGTGAAAAAAGAACTCAATATTAAAATTTTTCTAATCTTTCTGAAATATTTTTCCATTTTAAGAAATTGCGTCGTGGGAGTAGATAATTATCTACATTACTATATGTTTTAGCTTCCGTAAAGGGATTCGTTTACACTGAATTTACATTGCAAACTGAACTTCAATATGAACTTTTATGAAACTTAATTGTACACCTCCACCATAAAAAAAACAAAGAAATAAGCCATGTAAGTTTTTAATCCTTAAGGTCTGAAACCTATTCAGAGATCTAACCGTTCATTTGACCTCTGTAGGAAGCAGAAGTTTCAGTCTTATAAGGGAATTCATGAGAAAATTATATTAGGATATAAACAGCTCGCGTAAATAAATGATCCTGGTATTTTATTATGAGTAATTAGTAATACAAATTTGCATATTTAAATGATATAAATCAATAAAATATACTAAAAAAAATATTATGGTTTGAAATCCACCGTGTTGATTTTGTAGCGTTGCAGCTCAGATCAGACACCAGGTTCATTCTCAGGGCGCAGTTTTATCCAGCCAAACACTTGTAGCTTAAAAAATAACATTTTGGTCAGATCGTTAGCTACGAAAGCCATGAGACGACGTAGCAGTCGGAAAATTTTATTGTGGTTGTAACCTTCTGCTGTAGACGTGCGATGAGGGTAGTTAAGTGGGCGAACCGTCTAACAGGCGTCTTCCTTTCGTGTGGCAACGAGCAGGCTTCTGGCCCTCTCTTTGTTTCTCCTCTAGGGTCGATTGTTTTATAGACAACATAGTTCTTTGTCTTGTCACCTTTATCTAAAAAGTCATTCATCAAGAACTCAGGGTCTAACGACATTCAGTGGTCTTTTTTGTCAGGGTTGTTTGACCTGGTTCTTGAGAAGTCCACGCTATTAAGCTGACTTTTGTCCAAAACAGATAATTGTCAAAACGATTTCTGTGACGCATTACAGGTTGGGCATTAGCAAGATATCATATGACAAGTAATATCTCTAAATGTAACTAATTGTTTAATCTTCGAAGGAATCATCAGATGCTCACCATATAGCAATTTTGTGGATTCAAGAAAAATACTGTTATTTGGGAAAAAAACATGGCTCCCTAACACACGAATATGAAATAAACAACTTCAATCAGAATTCGAACTCCTCTCAATGATTCTACTTTGTAGAAACACTAACCGTTACGTCAATATTCCGTTCCTATATGTTGCAAGTTGTTTTATGCTATGGGAACTAAAAATGTAATTTTTACGTTATATATATACTAGCAGTAGAGCCCGGCGTTGCCCGGGGATGTAACAGTAAGAGATAGATCAAGTATCGACCATCATGAAGACTTAAAAATAAAATTGACAAAGATTATTGTTTAAGGTTGACGGACACGCATGTCTTAATTAGTTTTTTTTTTGTTGTTGTTTTTTTTACGAATTGGTCAAACCCAAACTCAAACAAAAACATTGTTTTCAATCGTTATGAGTCTACCGATTGAATAGAATTTTATTATAAACACTTGTCTTGTAAATGGAATTTTTAAAGTATTCTGAATGTAGAAATAAAGAAAAAAGTGTGCAAGACAATAAGAAACACTACCTGCCAAAAAAAAGTGAAGTTTTGTTGAAATCGGTTGAAAAATGTAGGAAATCCGATCCCATATATAAACGAACACACACACACACACAAACAACCTGGGTTTTATAATAAGTATAACTCGATATGAGTTGGCCCCTTTCATTCTGGTGACAGAATCGTGTTTTCAAATTGATTTTGTGCAAAAACAATTGTGTTTTTCCAATATTTAGCGCTGTCAGAACCACCGCAAGGTAATTTTACGCAGTGCTGTGAAATTTTGTTGAAATCGGTTGAAAAATGTAGGAAATCCGATCCAATATATAAACGTACACACACACACAATCTGCGTTTTATAATGATTATTATCATTTGCTGTTTTTACTTCTTCTTCTTAACTAGGTGGAAATTTGGCTACGTTGAACTTAAAATCTTTGTTTCACTACATGCATCTTCCCAATCTGAAAATGTTTCTCGCTGAAACGTTACGCAAATCAAACCTGAAACTCATCCAAGCAAGTCGGTTTGTCGAACTCTACCGGTCACTGCCTACGGTATTTGGTGCCCCTTTCAATCTGACCCTGAGTTCAACTCGTGTTAATTCACTGAATATTTCAACGTCATTAGGTTTAGGCCAGCTTCTCCCACCGAAAAATATTGCTATGAATGCCGGACTACAAACACAGTAAGTACGAGTGTTCTTATTTTTTATTCTCGTGGGTAGAAAGATACATTTACATTTTATTTAATTTTAATTTATTTAAATCTTTATTTCTATATGAAATAGCCTTCCTTCTAAACACCGTTGTACAAACTTTAGCAAAAGAACGTGTTTTAGTTAGTCTTTAAATACGCTATCCACCAGGGAGGTTTCTGCAATCGAATTGTTCCACGGTGTGGGTCGATTGAACTGACGCCTAACCTGTGTAATCTGAAGAAGGGTTAGATTTTTTTGTCGGAGTTTTCCTTCTTTTAGACGACCACGTTAACGAGTTTCATCTACTCGGGTTTTAGGAATTAGCTATTCGTCTCTTAGACCGGTTGCCAACGAAGGCTGACGATCTCAGTTTGCATTACTATTTAACATGTAGCTGGGGGAAAAGAAATGGATTCATAACTTTTCAAAAGATATTTTCACGAAAGTGAATGCAACGAAATAAAACTGCTTGCTTACAGCAAATTCAATGTGCCACAAATAATGGCTGCCTTAAAAACAGATATAAAAAAAACAGATATAAAAAACTGATATAAAAATAATCACTTATGGCGCGTCGACCTGGTATAATGGTTAGCAAGCTTGTCTCGCTAGAACAATTACGACTGAGTCGTGAGTTCGATCCACACTGGGTGCCCCCTACTTTCGGCCTTGTGCCTAATCTAAGCTACGCTTGGAAAATCACTATAGAAACAGACATTTATAAAAAAAAAATGCATGACAATTTTTAAAATGAAAATTAGTAATGGCATAATCTCTTCGTAAATACTGTTTCAAAAATCAACTACATATGAAGCATCAAGTTTTTATGAGCGTCACTTTATGTACATTGCCCCTTCAAGATGTTGGTGATCATGGCTCTTCTCAGCTTCTTGTCTATTACAGTTCTATACAATGTTTGATTCTTTACCCTTCCACTTTGTCCCCGTTCAATAATTAATTCACACAAACTCGTTAGGTGGGTCACTCGCTGTTTCTCTCTGTCATGTTAAATTTTCAAAGCTCTCTTTCCTCATTATGTGCACAGAAAATTTCACAGAAAATTTCACATCTTTCTGATTCTATGTACAAGTGTTCTTTTTGTTTCGATTTTGCCCAAAACTTCCTCGTTAATCACATGTTCCGTCTATGGTACACTCATCATCTTTCTGGAGAATCACATCCCTGTTGCCTTCAATTGTCCAGCATTCACTGCTATATAGAAAGATTGATATCACAGTCCAGCTCTCTTTTTTTTTTTCTTTTTGTTCCTATCGAAATTTTCCCCTCTCTTAATACTTTGCTTATCTTTCAAACGGCATATTTCCTGATTCCAATAGACCTGTGTCCATTGTTGCACTACCTGGATAGTTAAATGTTTATCTGCTTGATTCTGACGTTTCCATTTTGAAGCTCACACATTTGGTTGTCTCTTGGTGATGACCATACATTGACTTCTTATAGTTCATAGATATTTCTGTCTATAAGTTCTTGCAGTTTTTCTTCTGATTCTGCCATCAATACAGCGTCATCCTTGTATCTTTTGTTGTTTGTGATTATAGCCGCTGATAATAAATTCTGTTGTGTCTTCCAGCCTTCTTACGATCTAAAGGAATTTTGAGAAAACGCGCCCTCTTGTTACCTATTTTTCTATTATGCGTATTTGCTTAATTCGTTTTCTACCCACGTGTTTTCTCCCAGTAAATGTTGCGCATCATTCTATTTTTCTCATATAAGTAGAGCTTTCCTAGCAGTTCAATTAAGTTTTTGTGCTACACTTTATGATATGTATTTGCGTAATTTATGAAGCATAATTTATGTTTTTCTATTGGTATTGCTCACTTTTATAGTATTCTGAATATGAAGCTAACATTTCTTGTTCTAGTGCCTTGAATAAAATCATACTGTTCTTATCCTATTTCTAATTCTGCTACGACCTCGATTCGTTCGGATTCCAATCATAAGTTCATTTATGTAGCTCATTAATCTGGTTGTTCGATTGAGCTCATCTTCATTTACACCTGATTTCTTTGGCATTGCTAAAAAGTTAGATCTACTGAGGTCTTCCGGTGTTTCACCACTGTCGTATAATATCGTTTATTATTCCATCAATGTTTTCTATCTTGAAATCGTTTAATGCTGATAGCATCTTTGTAAGTATGCTATCTGTTCCTATTGCTTTCTTTCTGTTTCTCTTGGCCAGTTCCGCTCTTATCTCAGATATTAAGCTTACGGCCACATCACGCTGAAACAGCGGTTCCCGTACGAATCACCGAAGTTAAGTAATGTCAGGGCTGGTCAATACCTAGATGAGTGACTGCTTGGGAATACCAGGTGTTGTAACATTGAATGTACTGTGAGTGTAATGTATAATGACTCAGAATTGTTATTCGGAGAGCCAAGTTACAATACCCAGCTGTTTCGTTATATTCACTTACGCGCAAATACCCATTGGGAGGGAAAAGTATGAATTCATCTCTTCTTTCTCCAGATATGGATCAATTAGTAAAACTTGTATCACTAAACCAAAAATTTCAAAAATAATATTTACAATCTAAAATATTTTCTGGCTTTAAACAACCTGCAAAGGGTTGATAAGCCGTAAAATAATCAATCAGTCAATCGTTGTCTCACATTTTAATATTGCTGGTGTTTCCATGTTTTTTTATATATTGTGGTTTTCTCTGTTTTGTCATCATCGAAGAGGTTTCTGATGCCTGCCTTTCATCTTGGAAATATTTTCCCTTTTGAATTCTGAGCGTTAATTTTTTAAATTTTATTCATCCTGTCGAAGAGCATGTTTTCAGCCCCATTAATTTTTTATCTTTTTATCTATTCCTGCTACACTTATGTTCCGCGGTGCTTCTATTCACCTCTCGTTGAGCCTTTCACGATTTATCTGTTTGCATTTATATTGGACCATCACTGGCATTATTTGTTGTCTCTTTTTCATCACTTTGAGAGTTTCTCGTCATACAATTTTTTGGTCTCTTTTTCTTTAAGGTGATCTCGTTCGCCGATGATACCAGAGCTTCTATAAAGTTGTTCCACTTGTGACCTCCTATATTTGGCTTGGACTCTATCAGCATCTAACTGTTTGAAGAATGAGTCATTCTGGGCTCTGTTATATTGTAGTTTAGGCATTGATTTAGATTTCTTTAATTTCCATAATTTTAGTCCGGATTTGCATATGACTAGGAGGAGTCAGTGATTGGATATGTTTTAGATTGTAGAAATGCATTTTTGAATTTTTTTATTGGTTTTTATATAATTTTGTTTTTTTCTTCTATTATGGGTTTCTTCATGCCCTCAAGAGTCTTTGGGTTGTCGAAATCAGACTTTGGTCATTACTCGCTCGTTTGCATTACACCATTGGATTCATTTTTCTACTTTTTTGATTCAAATCTGTATCTGTCGACTATTTCATTGCCTCGTTCCTTTTATACTTTCAGGTTTTCTAAGATGAAGATTTCTTGCGATTTACACTAACTCCTTGTGTTGTCCATAAAACTTATATAAGTGCTTTATGACGTTGTTTCTTATGTTATTAAACGACTATATTTAAATGCTTAACATTCAGTTTCCCCAAAACACATTTCTTCATGCTCTTTGCCTATTATTATCCCTGCTCATCTTTTACTATTCTCTCCGCCTGCATATATTATTCTATATCGTCGCTTATGAAGTCCCCATTATTTATCCATCCACTTTCGCACATCCAAAGAAAGATGTTTAGCCTTTCTATTATTACGGTCTCTATATATTTCAAAGACTTATTAACTCAGATATTACAAAGTTGAAAGTGATTTATATTTGACTCCAACTCATCTCTAAGCTTTAATAAAAGTGAAATATGTTGTATCATTTATTTATTATTGTAAAATGTACAATAATCATGGCAAAAATGATTTTCTAAGCTACGCTTAGATGCAGCACATGGCCGAAAGTGTGGATCTCCCAGTGAGGATCGAACTCACTATTCAGTCGTAATAGATCTCGCGAAGCAAGCTTGCTAATATTTACACCACGTCGAAGTGCTCAAATGATTGTCTAAGCGTAGCTTAGATGCGGCACATGGCCGAAAGTGTGGAGCACCCAGTGAGGATCGAATTCACTATATATTCGTAATTGATCTAGCGAAGTAAGCTTGCTAGCCATTACACCACGTTGAAGTGCCCAAAATATGTTATATCAATAAACGTTTTCTATTCGTTTTTTATCTTATCATTCTTTCGGATTCCGATCCACATTTGATCTGTATTTGAGTATTTGAACCCAACTCCTTTTAGACACGCTTTAATAAAAGTGAAATATGCTAGATTAATAAATATTTCCTACTTATTCTTTATGCTATTATAGTTTACAGTTTAAGCATTTAAATAATAAATCCACTTTAATCGTCAAAGAACAAGAAAGTCTCGTGCAATTATTGGGTGTCTGCAAGAGTTCTTAGTGGTAAACAAGAAGCCTTGTTTCATTAATATCTATTTATTTGATATGTATTCTATTTATGTCCCTTCGGTTGGTATATGAGTTTAATTGTGGCAATGAAAATATATATTAATGTAATTAAATTTCAAGACGTCATCATTTATTCTCTTCCAATACCAAAATTAATTTCTCACAAGTGGGGGAACCGCGTGGGCAACTGTTGTCGAATTGATGTAAATGGAGGACCTATAAAGTAAAAATAATCGATTCTTTTTTTTTTTTTTTTTTTCAGGTTTGTTTTGGAATTCAGAGCTCGAATGGAACTTACCCTGCCTGGTTTGCGTCCACATGGATTGGGAATGAATTCTGATCTTGATTTCTATGGAGGTGGATCAGGGGGAATGACCCTGACAAGTGAAGATCGATCGGATAGTGGAGTTATCCAATATTGGAAGAGTCGGATTCACATCAATAACATTTATGAGCCGGCGGATCTTGTTAAAATCAAGTACGTTCAGCAACAATACTATACCATTAAAAACCTGCTTTCATATGTTTAATAATTTACTTCACTTGAACCATTAATAACATTTGTCTTTTTTTTTTTTTTTTTTTTTGCTAACGCCACGTCCCTTCAGGATGCTGGCCATAGTTTTTTCTTTGTTATCTATGAATTATTATGCACTCTTGGCAAAAAATAGTGGAGTGGTTTCCCATTACATTTTCTGCTGTTTTTTTTTTCTTTTTCATTTCACCATAAGCAAGATACCACAAGAACGCAGAGGGTTATAAGGAGTGAAAGAGAATGTGTATTTAGTGAGGAGAAGTGAAGAAAACAAACAGGAAGTTGGATTTAAATTTTTGAAGAATCTAGGTGGCAGTAAAGTAGGAAATCAGAAGTGAATTTCACAGGTGAGAAATGCGAGAAAAGAAACTATTAGAATAGAATGTCTGGCTTGTTCAACGGTAAAACGATATGACCTAGTCATCAATCTAGTAGCACACTTAAATTCATGTAGTCAAGGCACTAAGGCACTCCTCAGAACAGTTGCCATGAAAGTATTTATAGAAAGAGCAGAGGGAAGCCACTTCACATTGGTGAGAAAGTGACTGAAGTGGAAAGCAAGAAATTGGAAGGGAGTTCTACGGGCGAGATGTGTGAGAAAATAAATTGTTAGAATAGAAATGGTAGTTCCATCTAGCTAGTTCAACAGAAAAACAGTAACTATAAAACAGTCACTGTAAAACAGTCATTGCCAATCTAGTGGAATGCATAAATTTCTGTAATTGAGTCATTAGGAGAAGAAAAAAAAACTCATCAGAACATTTGCCATGAAAGTATTTGTAGAAAAGACAAAGATATTCACAGAATTTAGGTCACTTGATGTTAACACAAATTACTTATATATAAAAAAAATTCTTCACCGACAAGGCTGTGTAAAGTGTTTTGAACTCTGTCAAAACTATAAAGAGAGGATTGGGAAGCTCCAGCCAAAATATGACAATAACACTATCTTTTTTCCCTCCTGACTCTCATAAATGTAGAGCATGGTAGATGGAGTCAGGTACTTTTCAGGAGTGGTGTAGGGAGCTGACCATTTTCCAGCATCATTTTGCCATAGAGAGAAACATCTTTAAACTTACTGTTCAATTTTTACTTTAATCATTTAAAAGGAAAATAAAGGAACAGATTTCAAGAAAACAAAAAATGGTGATCGGCATTGTATTTAAATATTTGAAGATTGTAGGTGGCAAGGAAGCAAGAAATTGGAAGGAAGTTTCACAGGTGAGATGTGTGAGAAAATGAATTGTTAGAATAGAAGTGGCAGTTACATCTAGCTAGTTCAACAGTAAAACAGAGACCTCATTGCCAATCTAGTAGCATGCATAAATTCCTGTAATTGAGTCAATAGGAGAAAAAAATCATCATAACATTTGCCATGAAAATATTTATAGAAAAGGCAGAAGGAAACCACGTGACGTTGGTGAGAAAGAGGCTAAAGTCGAGATTGAGAGTTTATCTCCTCAACAATCGGTTGTCAAAGCTAGAGATCCAGATCTACCCGGCTCTGCTAACGATAGCTGGCGGCAGAATGGGACATATACATGCCTTCCCAAATTAAGGTGAAATTAAATACAACAGACTAGCCTGGAATTTGAACTCGGTTTTCCGATTCCACTTTACGCTTTGATATCCATTAAACTACCTGCACATTAGCAGCACTGGGATTTAATGTGATATTTTCCAAAAGAATCAGAAATATCAGCTGATTCATTTTTAATTCACGCGTTATCTTCATGCTTTAAATCATTCATGTTAATTTCTAATGCACTGAGGAAGATGGTGAATCCATGTCTTGCTGTTCTCTGCTTCAGCGCTAGATATCTTAATGAAATATCTCGTCACAGAGTTTTCAGACCATCGCCTAATGCCAGGAAATATATAATTTTTTAAAATCATATTTAATTCGAATTAATATAAGTAAACAGGTCCGTCTATCATCCGGTTCACACTCCTCCCCGGTCTATTGGACAAGAATAGAGGTTTTTCCCATATTTCCTGTTTAGGACTTCGCTTCCGGTTCCTTCTAAAGTCTTATCATTCTCTTTCACTCTCAGTAGCCCTTTTGCATTATCGCCTTCCTTGGGGTGAATTGATTAAAAACAAAGAATTTATTCATTTACATGTGTTCTATCATTAACAATAACTTCTTCCAAAAGATGCGCATTTTTCTTATACCGCTTTTGTAAAAGTCTTTTCGTTTCGAAGTAAAGAATGTAGTGAGAGTATTTTCCGCTCTTTCATGTGTTGTAAGAACACGTTCATCAAGATAGGTAAGTAAACCCGAGAACAATTTGCAATCAAATAGAGCAAGGTCTGGAGAATAAGGATTGTATGAAATTCTTTTTCTCAGAAGAGATTTAAAATCAATTCAGATGCTTATTATACTCATCTCAATCGCTGTTAATTTGTCGCATTTTCATATTTCTAACAACCTAAGAATTCTCGTTGGTTTCTTTCATTTATTCTCGTCTTTCAAACAATATTTGCAGGCATCGCATATACCTTCTGAGATCCGGTAAATTGGAAAGAATTTCTGCCGATCAAAATCCTGCAATTAAAAAATATGTATTTGATGGCTGTACTGGAGCCAGAGTAAAAGCGCTTCTCGGTCGGAAAATATGCATTCAAATGTCATACCCTGATGTCTACCAATCGAATGACCATCCTTATACACCTTTAACGGGAGATGTAGATTTCAGGTTTTATGTCGTCCCCAATGACATGTGAGTATTTAACTTTCACTTTTAATTTCATTTTATCCTTCTTTCTATTGTATCGAAAGGTAACTGTGTAGTATTTGATTCACACCATGAAATACCAGATGATCTGAAACGAATTTAATACAAATAATGAACATTTGTTCAAAGGAAAGTTAATTTGCGATTACCCAAATAATAGATTATACCAAATCTATTGCATAATCTCCAGATTATACCAAAATATATTTTACATTCAGCGTCACATCAGAGAATCAGTAAAGCCATCTGTATCAGCGAGTTGATCTATGGTGTTAATTCATCATTGTGATGTTGCTTGTCTTTTCCACGGAACCATAGTATACGATTATATTGTCAAGGCAGACAGGCCACATCGAGCGTTGATTAAGCGAAACCGAGTTCAATCCTGTGTCGAGCAGTGCAAGAATCTCATATACACTAATTCAGAAGGAGCAAATGACATCAGAAAAATTAACGAGATAGAATTGATACCAAATATCTAGCCGGATATTGACAGATGAATGGGAACAATCTATAGATTGAATAAAGTATTCGGAACGAAATTCCAGGAAAATTAACATCTACGAAAAACACCTAATGAAGGTCGAAGATTACAACGGCCGAAGCGTTGTGATTAAAAGAATGTATATGAAGAAACTAGGCTGTGCAGATCAGTGAATAAAAGTGATATTTCCACATATTGGAAATACAGACAAAATTTAAGGAAAATTCATTTTAAATATTTCCTTACTACTCAAATCTATCATAAAAAAGGGCATTACTTTTATATCCGTTATAGTTACGTATCTTCTGTTTGTATGACGTAAAGCCAGTTTTTGCCACTTAACTAAAAAAATAGATACAGAGATAAACATTGAAATTAATGCTATTAAAACGTTTTAAGAAATCAAGGGTAGACAAAAGTAAAAGAAAAATAGTTTGTCAAAAATTAATGACACTGCTTTGTCTAAGAAATTTGGATAACTGTAAACTGCCACATATCAAATACTACTAAATGTCAACAATGAACAAAAATAAGATAGAAGAAATGATTAATAATAATGACAACGTTTCATCTAAGAAATTCGGACAAATTTAGACTATAATGGTGTACGGTAGCCATATTGTTCACATTTAAAATAAATACATTAGAAAAAAAATTTGAGTCATGGTAATTTTTTGTAACAAAAATTATTCTATTTTTTAATTCAAACATGCATTCTTCCTTTTTTCAGAGCATTGTTAACATATAACATTGACATTGAACGAGAAATTAAAAAAGATAAAAGAAACGGATTGGTTGGAATTGTGAAAGTCAGATGTAATGCACCAGGTAAGTCTGTAATTTTTAAATTATTCAATAAACACACACGTTCGCATATATATATGTCAATATATATATATATATATATATATATATATTGACCTCATTGAGTTTCATCGACAGATCATCCATATATATATATATATATATATATATATATATATATATATATATATATATAGTGTGAGTGTGTGTACGCGTGATAGAGAAAAAGAGAGATTTTGTTATTCCAGTAATAATTTTCACACTAAAATTAGTATTAACCAATTTACCAAAATAAGTAAAAAGACTATTCCCTTATTTTGCCAGTACTTTATAAATATTAACATATGACAATTGTCCTTTTTTAATCTGTGCCTGATGATTTCTATGTACATGAATCTCAGAGTTACATCAAATGGTAAGGAATAAATATATATCTTTAGTATTGTTTTTGTTACATTGAGCACTGTTCTATTATTAATATAATGGGTATGTTGCCGAGTGGTTAGAACGTTTGCTTTTTGACCATGAGAAACTCAACATTTGTCAGGAAGGTAGCTTCTTGATGTCATCGCTCTGGGCAACACCAAGTCTTGTGAGTGAAATTGGGATCCATTTGGTAGCCGTCAATGGGTGCGCAGACCGAGTATTTGAGCGTACAGGCTTTGTTCAGACTGTTGATCACACCAGATAACTGTAACTAACGTCCACTCAGCATAGTTGCAGTATAAACCCCAGGTGGGCTCACAAATATGCCTGAGCAGGTGTCTATAACAGGGATTTGCTAACCGCCCTAGTAGACATACATTCCTGGATACCATTATTATTATTATTATTATTATTATTATTATTATTATTACCCCAAGCACTAACTATACGCGATTATATATATATATATATATATATATATATATATATATATATATATATATATATATATATATATATTTAATGAAAAATAGATCACTTTAAAGGTACCATTACAATAATTTATTTCACCAAAATCCTTTTAAAGGACTCCGGATCATCAAGTGTTGGAATTGTTACCTGATGATCCGGAGTCCTTTTAAAAAGGATTTTGGTGAAATAAATTATTGTAATGGTACCTTAAAGTGATTTGTTTTTCATTAAATATTAGCTCTGTATTCACATTGAGCTCTCAGGATTCCATCCTCTTTGGAATTACCCATTCGGTTTACCAAGTTCTTCATAACTTATATATATATATATATATATGTGTGTGTGTGTGTGTGTGTGTGTGTGTGTGTGTGTGTGTGTGTGTGTGTGCGCACACGCAAGATGTTGCACAAAAGTCCGAGGAATTTGAACAACGTACTTGAAACGGGTGCTGTTCAGGCTTTTCTCTTTTTTAGCAGTACGTTTTATGAGACCGCTGTATTCATGCCCAAAAGACGATTTTGAAAGAGACCGATGAAACTATACAAGTCATTTTTCATTGTCTAATTCCTTGAAGCGTTTGATCAACATTTCATGATCTGAAGCACTTTCTCAACACAGAGAATTAAAAGTACTTTTTAAAGAAGACCATGTGCTTACTTACTGACTACCAAAGGATTCCATTGATTATTATACAAATAAACACTTTTAATTCTTTCAAGATTGTCAATATAAGTTTATTTGAATGCATAAATTATTCTTGCTTTTAATCCTCGTGTTTCTCGTTTATTTTCTGTTATCAGGGTCAGGATTAGAACGTCAATTAAATATCGATATACTGCAAAGAGATCATAACAATTATTTATTGGTCGATATAATGGTGCCAGAGTTGAACAACCTAAAATACTCCATGGAATTCCAGTCTCACGATGAAGCCCATGATTACGAATTAAAATTTAACACGGGTCTTGGATTTCATGGAACTGACTTTATAGCGATTCACTTAGACGTAAGTATTCATATTTTGCAAGGCAAATCTTGTCGACTGTTACATATAGTTTGCCATTAGGATTTATTGGTGGCCACAAACATAAGCTATGCAAATGACACAGTGTTGATAACAGATACAGAAAGACACTTCAAAAGCTCCTACAGGAGGTAACCGAGAAGAAAAGATTAAACATAATCTACAAGAAGATAGAACGCTTGGCTGTTAAAAAAAGGATGAGCCCAAAATGCAAATTACAAATCGGAGATACCAAAATGAAACTAGTACAAAAATTTAGATATCTGAGAAGTATTTTAACAGAGGACAGAAAACAACTTTAAAACTAGAGGAAAATAAGAAAAGGCGATGTAAGTTTGCGTCCCTTTTACGGATGTTTTGATTGTAAATGTTGAATAAAAACTGAGAATGATATATAAAAGAAGGATTATATATAAAGGAAAATTATATAAAGAGTATAATTTATTATATAAATTAATTTAATATATTAATAATAAATATTATATTAATTTTAAATATTAATAAAATATCAATATTTAATAATTAATATAGTAATAGACACGACATAGTGATTAGAGGTAATCTTCGATATCGATGGAACCGAACATAAAAAAGAAACTCGCAGAGCAGAATCAACCCCAGAGATTTTATTGAATAAATTTCAACTTTTTTAAAATTTATTAATTGCTCACGTTTTAAAATGGTTTATTATGAGTTATTTTACTAGTGTACATAGATGTTCCATCGAATATCGTTGTTAAATACAAGTTTATTTCCATTAAATTAGTTTTACTTCAAAATAAAACATATACATTTAATATTTTTATAATTCCTAAACATGTCTAAAAATAAAAAAAAAAGGAAAAACTAAAATAATTTTTCACAATTTATTTTTTCATCGATTGGTTATGGGGTTCCAGCAAAAGAAAATAAAGTAAAAGTGATCTATCGGTAAAAAATGATTAAGAACCACTGATTTAAACCATTGGCGATTTTCCCTACAGAAGATCATACGTGTAAACTTCATTTGATGTAGAAACAGGAAACATTCATAATATTTTCTGTATTGAGAAGAAATATTCTTTTTTAAAAAAGTATTTTTGCATACTCAAATGAATAAATTGGAAAAAAATCACACATAACAACGTGTGTTAATCAAATTTGTCATCAATGATAATATTATACCAAGACATCAGCTTACTTTAACTCAATTTAATTCAAATAATTATATTGAAGTTTTCGGCTCTTGTTTTGAAACATGAGACCTCTTATGTCGCGAGTTGGAATCATATTTTTAAATAAATAATTATATTTATGCTCTACTTTTGTATCGAGCACTATTTTTTAAAAATAATAACTAAAATACTAAGAAACTTTGGATTATTTACCTAACCAGTTCTTTCCTATTTTCTATATATTTTCACATATATATATATATATATATATATATATATATATATATATATATATATATATATATATATACTGGGTGCAACAGCAAAATTGTCCAAATCGTGTAACAGCATGGGATAATTGTCCATCCCACAAAATGTTTAAAAAAAAAAACTCTAAGTGTGTTTCTTTTTCCCAGGTTTTCAGATAATTCAGATAGCCATCTTGACACGATTTTTTGTAAGAATCACTTTGAGTTGAATTTTTGTAAGAATCACTTTGAGTTATTCTGCTAGAATAAGTACGTGTTAAAATCATTTTGTGTAAGCCCTATTATGTCTTCCAGCTGAGCAATGATGAAACGAAAAAGATCACTCATGCCTTCAGTAATGGTATCAACATTGATACACTGGCTTCCATCATGAAAGTTCATTCAAGAACCATAAAGAGAACGGTAAATAAGTTTAAAAAAGAGGGAACAGTAGACAGGAAAACTGGATCAGGAGGTCACAACTGAAAGAGGGATCATCATTTCAGCTTAAAGCTAAATACATTCTTATTGGTCAAAATAGAGTCTAATAGTGTTATAAAAACCTTGGAGAATTGCAGTAAGATATCTTTAATCATTTCCAAGATGCAACGGTTCAAAGCTTAATCTGACAATTGGACAATTTTGCTGTTACACTCGGTACATACATACATACATACATACATATATATATATATATATATATATATATATATATATATATATATATATATATATATATAATGTTAGTAATGCCTTTCAGTTAAAAATTAATTATATTTTAATGACATGCCACTAAATATTTTACCACGAACGAAGAATAATTATATTCCGAATATTATTTGTATGTTATTTCATTTATACGATGTCTGATCAAAAACTACCAGGACTGTTGCTATAGTAACGGAGGTAAAGTACGCTGTGGGGACGCCATTTAGCGCAGTTATAACGTTATGGCTTATTTCCGTTGTTTATAAGGTTTGTGTGCTTGAAAGAAAAGTGCAGAAGAGTGTAGTCGTCTCACCACACCATAGAGGTTCCATCAGTGGCCATGGTTTGAGCAGCAGTAATTTTGTGGGGTTCAAGCACAACATTCCTCAGGTCCGACAACTACCTTATTCTCCAGATCTCACGTCGAGGAAACCCAAGAGAATGCGGTGAGGTAGCAACTCGCTATATCCAAAAGAGGAGTTCCAGGAATTCTTCCAAGAATGAAAAAAAACGCTAAATAAAGTGTGTGACTTCAGCAGACTGTCTTGAAGGAGATGTTGAATTGATATGTGTTTGTTTTTTTAATCATTTCACCCCGGGCAAGGCTGAAATGCCACTAGTACGCAGGGAGGTACAGGGAGTGAAAGTGAGAGAAAAAATTGAGTATAGGGAGGACTGAGGAAAGGACAAAAGATGAACGGGATTCAAGAAGATAGAAGATGGCGATTGACATTGTATTTAAATTTTTGAAGTTTGTTGTTATTAGGGAAGCAAGTAAACGGAAAGGAATTCCACAGACGAGAAGTGCGAGAAAATAAACTGTTGGAGTGGGAGTGGTGGTTGCATTTAGCTATTTCAACAGTAAGCTCGTGGGACCTAGATGCCACTCTTATAGCACGCCTAAATTTATGTAGTCGTTGCACCAGGGAAAAAGCTCGTCGGAGCAGTTGTCATGAAAATATTTATAGAAAAGACTGAGGGAAACCACGCCACGTCGGTGAGAAAGTGACTGAAGTCAATATGTCAAGTCAGGATCGATTACATTACAGATCCTTCTTTGGATTTTGTCAGGAACTTCGAAATGAATAGAAAGAGCACTAGACTAGATATGACAGCAATATTCAATGCACATACGAATGGTAGATTTGTAAATGTGCAAGATGGACTCTGACGAGAAAGGTTTTCTGTCACGACACAGTAACCCAACTTTCCTTGCAGTAGATGCAGCTGTTGATTCGATGTATTGTAGTTTTTCTTTTCTTTAGTTTATCCTTCCTGATACTTTTTAATCAGACCTCGTATAAAATATTAAGACCGAATTCTTCATTTATTTTTCGGTTATTTTTTTTTTTTTGCTGTTTTTATTTATTTATTTTTCTTTCGTTTTGGTATAAGGTATTAAAACAAACGGCAATTCCTGGCATCAAGACAGATTACCTGAGTTTGTTAGACTTCAAGCTTCAGATAATGGACATTTTACTAAACCTGACACTGGAGAACAGTCTGCAAAACAAAAGCAAGTTATTGCTAGCTCACATGACATACCATTGGTTAGTATAAACACTTCTCAGTCTTGATTTTTCAAAAGAGTATTTTGATTTATGGAATTTCGGTCGCCATATTGTCTCCTTTTGTTACTCAAGTTGTTTTATCAATTTTGTATATATATATTTCTTTTTCAAATCTTCTGATTACTTCGAGTGATCCTTGATAATGATTTACCTCGTTTTGATCAAGCCTTATCAAATTAACTGAATTCAAGAGATTATGGGAATAAGTTAGCGTAAAAGAAATACGCAATGTTCATAAAGAGTGGCATGTCACTTTTGATTTTGACTTCAGAAATAAGAGTAAATTCGTAAAAAATATCTCCTCAAGAAAGGTATAACCTCTGAAATATCCATATATATATATATATATATATATATATATATATATATATATATATATATATAACTTTTCTCACAGCGAACCATTTTGATATTATCATGACAGATTATATAGACACGTGGCCGAGTGGTTAAGACGTTCACTTTCCGAAACTGAAAATCTCACTGTGGTCGATTTTTAGGAAGGTGACTTCTTCACTTTATCATCGTGGAGAGGCGATCGCATCATGAAAAACATACCCATACCATGCCAGTCAAATAGGATTTACAGAACTATTTGGGAGCCGTCGATGATTGTGACCAAGTCATCGTGACCGAGGGTTTAGGCGGACTAGTCTTGTTCCGACTGTTAATCACGCCAGATAATACGCTCTCGTCCAGGAACTGTAACTAAGATCCGCTCAACTTCAAAAATACGCTCTTAAGTAAGTGCCGGAGGAGGTCGTCACTGATGTAAATTGACTTGGTTCATCAGGGAGTTTCGGTTCTTTCAACATCATACACCCCATCACCAAATCGACCTAATCAGAGGAGATCAATCCCTGATCCCCTCCTCTCAATCAAACGTTAACAGCCACTCTGGCCTTTTAATGAATTCGACGAAGAAAGACCACGTTTTCCGCGCATCCGATTGGATGTTTGTAACAACCAATCCGCTGCGCGAACTATCTTTTAAATGGCCCGCGGTAGGGACTAGCTTCTTTTCTTTCTTTCTTTCTTTTTCGGTGGATAGTAGTTTGAATGGATAACCGAGGAAGTAATCTTAATGTTCCTAAGTTTCTATTTTCTTTGCTAATACTCTTCTTTTCCTTCTGCTCCTCATACCCAAATTTTTCTGTTGCATAACTAGTGATGATTTTGAACATTGTCCTTAGTCGTTTATCCACCGAACCTTTTGATGTTGTTTCAAGGATCTCGCCGATGTCCGCGTCGAATTCGTGCTAGGCGTGTTTGTCACTGGCTGGGGGCCATTTTTATCTTTCTTCGAAATGGAGTATCAGGCTCCGCTTGAACATCTGCTTGGAGGGACTGGACGCTGTGGTGAGCTTCCCTGCCCTGCAATTCCTGCGACTCACCAGGGGAAAATCCTGCGCGCTGCTGTTGGTTCGACTGCACCTTACACTTCATTTTTGCCTGATGGATTTTTAGGCCGCGCATATTTTTGCACATCTTTCCACATGGGCATGTCAATCTCGTTGTCCGTAGATCCGTAGCTTGGCTCGTTACCGTTTCATCCATCCTAATGGGGATCTCATTCTGTCCCCCACTCTTGGGATCCCCTGGGGGTATTTATTCGCATGAGTTTCTATAGCGTTTTCTGAATCGCGTAAATCGGGTTGCTAGCCCAGAAATACACTTTTGTGGTCTCTCCTCACCGTCAATTGGCTTTCCAGTTTGTCAACCACTCTATTCCTGGATCGTCATCCGGTCTATTCCCGGATGTCACTGTTTAAACAGTAGAAAGAATACTTCAAAAATACGCTCTTAAATAGGCGCCCGAGGTGGTCGTCAGTAATGTTATAGTTGTAGTAGAAAGCACAGGTGGCTTCTGTGGGTGTTGGGAAAATACAAGAAAACTTGAGCAAGTGTCTACAACAGGAATTGGCTAACCACCCTTGTAGTTAGTCATATTCGGATTCGAGCGTCCTGCCATTATTATGTCAGATTAAGTGATATGGGCTTAAACTCTCTCCTCTCTGATTCCACATGCCATCTTTTGATTTACTACCTTGTATCTTATGATATCTGTAAATTACATGAAGTATTATCATTATTATTATTGTATTGTTATTTTAGAACATTGTATCATTGTTGCTTTTTTATGATACTTAGAGATTCGGGAGTAACAGAATGGCGACAGTTTTATGCGTCGTTTAATCATCGATGCTTCCGTGAGAGAAATGGTTAAGACAATATCCATTAAATGCGGGTTCTTGTGGTAAGGAAGGCGAATTTAAAATTTGTCGAGGGCTACTTCTTTATTTCTGATTTCGCCCTGCTTGCTCCAGGGGTCGGGGTTTGCCAAGCTAGAATGTTGGGATTAAAACCCAATACTAAGATGAAGTAACGCTAGCCATAAAAGGAAAACGTATCATTTAAAAAGAATATTCAAACGTGACAAAATTTGTCGCAAAACTCCACTTTGCAAAAATGCAAATAATTTTATTTCTATTAGCAAAAGTTACAAAAACTTTAGATTACATTTTGATAAAATATTGAAGGTTCCGTTCATTTCCAATCATTGGGTTTATTTAATTCAGAGTATTTTTTTTTGTTTTACAATCATGTTCACACCAAACAAGGATCAAAACCCTAATATAGTCATCTAAGAAAATATACAGTTGTACGTTATTATGATGTATCACAGATTTTATTCGATAGATTCAAGAATTTCTTGATTTTTTTCCAGTTCCCAGAGATGGCCAGTGCTCTTTGAACTTCACGCAGATACCGAACATGCAAGCCAACATCATGATTTAACAGAGATGAAATTTAAAATGGCATGTGAAGTCCTACCTCATCCTAAACACCAGATTTCTATGAAAAGAACCTGGGACCTGTTATATCCGGGTGAGTAATATCAAAGTGCTGCAACTAAAATTTTACTACATTAGACCTTTTGTATTTGCTCAGCATTGGTTATATAACTATCTCGCTAGTTGGTTATTGTGGCATGTGGGGGGCTTTCTTTTTGCCCGATTCAGCAGTAACAGCAGGGCACAACCGGAAATCCCAAAACTCATAAAAACGCAGACTAAGCTCTATATGGTCTCTTTTTCCACTTTTCCTTTGACAACGGCCGCCACCTTTAGGGCAAGCTTCTTTTCCCCTTTTCCCTATCAGCGGCCGCTACCTTCAGGGCAAGCTTTTTTCCACTTTTTTCTCAAACGATCACTACCTTCAACGCCAGCTTCTTTTCCACTTTTCCATTTCAGCGGCCGTTACCTTCAAGGCCAGCTGTTTCTCCACTTTTACTTTTCAGCCCCGCTACCTTCAAGGCCAGCTCGAAAAACTATACACAACCTTTGGTGCAGAAGGCAAGTGATTGGTCCTGGCAGTTTGACCTGAAATTTCTCCTTCTTCGAGGGAACAAAAGGGGAAATTTCCCTTTGAGACACCTATTTCCCACAAAAAATACTCCCGACCCTTGCTGCAGATGACCCGTACCAGTCCTAGCAGTCTGATACTTATATTACTCGTTCTTCGTGGGAACAAACGAAGAAATCTCTCTCTTCGAAACATCTACTCAAGGAAAGAACTCTGTTTACTAAGAAACCAAACATTTTCAAGCAAAATACCAGTATTTTGCACTCTGCTTCAACCACAAATAAGACTGGACTTTGTTTATTCCACTCTATACATTGTTGAGCACACACACACACACACATAAACACACAAAATCAGGAAGATTCCTAACATGATAGCGCTCACCTTTTAGACTCTTAGTAAAACAAACATCGATTATGCATATGATAATTATAGGAGGGATGATATTCTAAAGAAATATCATTGTCTCATATTTAATAAACCTCTTTCATCTTATCTTTTAACCAGGCAACCATTTCCATCTGGATGTAGACTTGAAAGGATCTAAACCATCTACTCAAAGTACTGGCAAACTAACTTGGAATCATCCTCTTGGACAGGTATTTACGTTACAATTTCAAAATCACTTTCATAATAGTGCTACTAGTTTTATACCTATAATTACTTTATATAATTAGTTTTTGGTATTAATTCTCTCTCTCTCTCTCTCTTTCTCTCTCTCTCTCTCTCTCTCTCTCTCTATATATATATATATATATATATATATATATATATATATATATATATATATAGTTCAATAAAACTATTTTTACAAACAAGAAGGTATATCTTTTGGGGGAATGTTCATATTAAAAATGTACTGAATACACAGTTTAAGAAATCGAATGTGCAGAGATTTTTATTAATAAAATAATATTTAAAATAATAAACATACCAACCTTTTCTGCGATCACGGTTTCCACTGATAAATGGTTTCTTCAGACAGTGAAAAGGTCAATATTTTCCTTTTCACTGCCTGAAGAAACCATTTATTATTTCAAATATCATGTGTGTGTCTGTGTGTGTGTGTGGCAAATATATAGTTTTACGTTAAGCTATATATGGGTACAACCTACTGCGGGAAAAATCTGCCTCGTCAGTTATGTATATAAGATAAATGATCGCCTACGCGTGTATCACGCATGCCAAATAACTGACTGACAGATATATGGGCAAAACTGCTGAATAGAACGTATGTGAATGTAAAATTGGACAATGAGGTCAAAACCAATTCTGTTTCATGCTTGAATGCAAGATTCAGGCCTAAAGATTGTGTTCAGGTATGAAACAGACTATCGCCGTTTGGTTTTTACCTCAGTATTCAATTACATATATATATATATATATATATATATATATAAAGATCAGATTGTTACTTGCATTGGCCTTCACGATCTTTCTGTATGACTGTGTATCTTGGACATTAACAACAAAGAATCCAATCATTAGAAATGAGATGCTACAGGATCCCTAGACATCTCCTACGTAGACTGCATCACAAATGACGCAGAGAGAGACACCACCAAACAAGAAACAGGCCCATTGGAAGACGCCATATTTGCCGTAGAGGATGGAAAGTGAAATAGTATGGGCACGTTACAAGAGGCAACAATCCTTCCCCTGCAATCCGACAAGGTGCCAACTTAACCAAAAGAAGAGGCAGATAGAGGGGCAAAAATAAGTTGACAACGTCACTGGGTGGACTGGAAGACAATGGTACGCAACAAAGTTATATGAAAGGAGCTGGTTACGTGCTCAGCTGCGCAGTGACCCTTTGACCAGAAATCATCATTGGACTGATGATGATGATAATGATATTTAAGATGGTCAATCAAAATCATTCAGTCGCACTAAATTTGTATTTTTAATATGCAACTTCTTGTGACATTGTTATTTTTTTCTTTCTTTTACAGGAAGTTCTTTGGTTAACCGGTAATCTAATTGACAAAGGTACGCCCAAGAAAGTAGACTACAAGTATGATTTAACGTTTGACCACAAAGTTGACAGTACGATTATCAAAGTGGACGCTGTGATGACTGGGACACCTATGGCTTACGATATCGTATTTAATGTTGACTATAACAAACGGCAAATGGTGAGGATTTTCTTTAAAACTATTTTTATAAAGCGTAAAATACTCGGTTCATTTCGGAGTTAAGTAAATACAAAATTTATTAAACATGATTTTTATGACGACGAAGACTTAAAATGTCAGATTAGTCCTTTGCATAAGAGACCATTTGACTCTTGTTTGTAAAATTTTAGAATATACAAGATTTTAAATAATTTTTACCCAGTTCATACACACAAAACTGGATTGGTTGATTGTTTTTAGGGCTTGTCAACCTTTTGTAGAAAATATTTTTAGATCTTAAGAATTTTTAGATAATAATGATTTACTGATACAAATCCTACTAATTAACCTATAGCAGGGGGAGAAAATGTACATTGATACCGTTCCCAAGATTAATTGCGCATAAATGAAGATAACGAACCTGACTGGAATTGGAACTCGGCTGTCCGATTTTTAGTACCGAGCCGTTATCCATTGTCCGCACATCCAAGATTACAGTAATTGATATTCCGAAGCGGTTACCCATGTAGTTACTCACCAGGCTTGACGTTGCATAACTTTGTTAATTGTACGTGAAACGGTGTTTTGACTGGAGTATCAGTAGACCTTCCAATTAAACAATTATCAAAACCATGTGTTAAAGTCGGTGCGATGGATAAATTGTCGTCTAAATTACGCTCTCGCTCTCTCTTTCTCTCTCGCTCACACATACACACACACACACACACACACAAAAATGAAATTAATACTGACATCTTATTTTAACTGATACATTTACCAAAATTACGCAAAAATATCTTGAAATACTAAAGAGTAAATTTATTCAAAAAAATCGCCATTGGTTTCACGGCATCCAGACTACTTCGGAACGGTCTCTTTGTTTAGTTGGTGAATGTTGCCATAATCCTTGCTTTCAGTTAATCTTTGGTGTTACTAGGAGTTTTGTTGCTCTCCCGCTCAACTTCGCCCAACACATAATAATCAAGGAGTTAGGTGGCCAGGTGTAAGGGTTTAATGTGGTCGCAGATATTGTCTGACAGCCATGACTGGTTTTGAGGCATGGTGCAGAGTCCTGTTGCTAGACATAGGGCATCCTAGTAGCCATCCTCTTGACCCAGGGCAGCACTACCTCCTCAAAATACTTCATGTAGACTTCTTTGTTGAGTCCGAGGCCCTCACCACCAAATTCGGGAGTTCGTTTCTTAACAGAACGATCAGAGCGAGTTTTCCGAGCTACCGTACCTTCGTAATTAACATTAGATTCATCCAACTCATTCCGAATCCTCAGCACTGTCCTCAGATTGACACCCAAACACTTTGAAATGTTCGTATTGGAGCTTCCGGTGTGAATGCCAAGCACACCATTTACAAAGTTCTGGTGTGAATGCCAAGCACGCTATTTCCAAATTTCTGGCAAAGTGAATTTTATCATGGTGCTCTTTTTCTCACAGACGGTTCCCAACTGACCCTAATATACTGTGCAGTCGATTAAATTTAAAATAAATGACACACGTGCGCGAAATTAAAAATATAAAATGGCGACAATTTACACATTGCTCCCTGAATAGATAGATAGATAGATAGATAGATAGATAGATAGATAGATAGTAATTGGCAGAAGAAAGCCATCTCTTCAATTTTCGATTGAGCAGCCGTGAGCACGTCTCTCTTTTTACGTAACGTGTTCCCTCAGGACGCAGGCGATCATGACTCTCCACTATTTCCTGTCCTTTGCAGCTCTAAATAAATTCTGTCTTTTCGTTATTTCTAAATCCTGTTCCGTCATCCATTTTCTTGATCTCGGCAAGTATGTTATGCGCTGTTTTCCTCTGTCCCCCATGCCCTCAATCCGTCCTGTGAGTATCAGATTTTCCAAGCCCTCCTTCCTCATTATGTGCCGCAGAAAGTTCAACTGTTTCCTCCTTATGTTAAGTGTGTTATCTTTTTTAGTCCATTTTCTCTAAAACCTCGTCGTTGCTCACATGTTCGGTCCATGATATCCTCAGCATATTTCTGTAGAACGACATTTCTGTTGCTTCAAGTTTCTTCTGCATCTGTGAGGAGATTGTCCAACATTCTCTGCTATATAAGAGGACTAATTTGTTAAGGAAGGTGATATGCAGTATGAACCTGGTCGTATATTCATCGTGGAGGATTCAGAAATTAATGCATTTTCTATACATTTTCATCTTAATAAATTACATTCTGTTTTAATTAAAATCAGCAATATTATTGATCCTGATCTGGCGGCTCGGCTTCAGATTTCTTTATCTTTGAGGAAACTGTCTAGCATTAACTGCCATACAGTAGGATAGATATCACGTAAAAGTTCAGTATACTTTTCTTTGTTTCTAACGAAGTTTTTCTTTCTCTTAATACTCTGCTTAACGTCTTCGGATTTCAGTGTTGCATTTTCCTACCTCTGTTAGAACACTTCGCAGATATTTAAGTTTTAGTGCTAACTTGATTTTAGTATTACCGATTTGTAATTTATATTTTGGGCTCATCTTTTTACTAATAAACATGCATTTTGTCTTCTTGTAATTTAGATTCAATCCTTGCTTCTCGCTTTCCTCCACGTTAAGTTACTCAAAATCCCGCTTCTGCGAGCTTTCTTGCATTTATGTACGGGACGAAAAAACTTATGTATGGTCCTAGAGTTTATCCTGTCTTCATACATTTTTATGTGAGTCTTTGGATCTGTTTCTATTACAATAAATATAATATACAATTTATATAAGAACTTGTGGATAGCTACCAACGTATTTTGTCTGAGACTGCTTATTCTGATGAGTACTTAGATGATTTGAAAGTCTCGCTTTGGATGAGAAAACACCTACCATGGATGTTGCATGTACATTCAGTTTGGCGATTATCTGGGATTAGAGTCACGTCCTTCTCCCTAATATCCCGTTTTAAGACTCAACGATCACTGTTCTTCCTCGAACACCTTACAATCATTGTTTACCATTTTCCTCCACGCAGATCGATTTTCTCTCAATATTTCTCAAATATGAAAAATCAAAGGATGTGGAACATTTCCATATTCTATCACTGGTGAACGACGATGTTAGTTGAAAAACTTGGTGTTCAAGATTCTCTTAAGACACTTTTGATGGAACCTCTCCAAAGATTTATTGTGAGAGCATTGTGTGGTCAAAGTCTCTGGGAGATTCAAAAGGGTGAATAATACGCAGACACGTTAAGCTTATGCTTCTAATCGACCAGACTCGTGTCTTTAGATTTTCAAATGCTTTCCTAAATGTCTCGAACATAATATTTATTTCGGAGTCGAAAAAACCGTCCCTGGAGAAGAGTGTGCTGCAGAGGTAAAAGAATGTATTCAAAGCATGCAGTCTTGGGCCTTGAATAAAGATGCTGTGTTCAATGTAGTTGTGACCTGGAGAGGGCGTACAAATGATTCTGGTTTTTGTAAGATTGATGGCAAATCCAAAAGAAAAGCATGCTCCAGAAAACAGATCCATTATTGTTTGCATGCTTCATCGGTATCAGAAACGATGTCTGCTTCGTCAGGATAGAGAATCTCCTGAACGAGGGTCAGAAAAAGGAGGAATGCTGAAAAGTTGTTGGCCCTACCAAGAAAACCATTCTAAAAAGTGGTTCTAGCAAAGAAATCATCAGCCCACCATACCTGTTTTTTGTTTGTTGTTTCTTAGTAACGTTTTTTTTTCTGTTTTTTTTTTTTTTTTTTTTTTTTTTAGAGAAGGAAGCGTTCCTGGCCAGAGTTATCAATGCAATTCAAAAAAGATTCGGAAGGCATCAAAAGAGGAATCTTTAATGTAAGTGTAGCAAATTCTTTCTTTCTTGGAGATCGAATGAACAAAATTTAATTATAGCCAAAAGAACGGATACGATAGTTGGTAATACGAGAAAGATAATAATAATAATAATAATAATAATAATAATAATAATAATAAATGACCATCTTGTATCAAGTTACACTGTTGTTAGTTCCAATCACGTTTAATTATATCCGTTTTTTCTTCTATGATTTTAAACTTTACAACACACTCACCTGAAAATACTTATAAAATCAATTTAAAATTAATTCATGTACATTGTAATAAACCAGCATAATCTTTAATCAGCATTAATATGATCATTGCGTCGACTGACAAAAATACAAGAAAAGCCTCGTACGTATAATTATTCTTTATCTAAATCCGGACTTTCTCAATATGTCAACGATTGGGTGCGTGACTTAGAGGCCTTTTTCCGAGCGTGAATCGTAAGCCTCTCTTCGCAATTGGTCCATGTTTTATCTGTGAGAAAACTGAAATTTAAAGGAAAATTATACCTTCATCCCAGTTTATCATTTTTTTTAATACTAAGTTCACTGAGGACGTAGGTGATTATAACTCTCCTCAGCTGCTTTATGTTTATTTATCTGTGAATTGCTCTGCCTCCTTGAGAAAGAGAACGGAGTAATTTCCTGTTGCTTTCTCCCCAATTTTGATTTCACAGTTTTTCTTCTCCTAGACTTGCTATCACGCAAGGCTAGAGAATCATGTCCACTCTGCTATTAACTCCACGCCTGAACGAGAAGAGATGTTATTAGTGCGAAACGGAACGCCGGAGACTAGGCAGGCATTTAACAAAGTGGACGTTGTGATGAGTGGGACATCTATAGCTTACGATATCGTTTAATGTTGGCTATATCAAAGAGCAAATGGTAACTATTTTTATAAAATGTAAAGTACTCAGTTCTTTTCGTAGTCAAGTAAATATAAAATTTATTGAAAAGGATTTTCATGTCGATGAAGACTTAAAAGGTCAGTTTAGTCTCTTGTTTATAAAAAGTTACAATATCCAAGATTTTAAATATTTTCTCCCCCGTTCATATACACAAGAATGGATTGGTTGATTGATTTGTTTTTTACGGCTTATCAACCTTTTGAAGATTATTTAAACAAATATTTTTAAATTGTAAGGGTTTTTTGAGATAATAATGATTTAGTGATATAAGTCAAACTAATTAACCCATAGTTGGAGGGAGAAGAAGGGGATCCACATTTTTCCAAGGATATTTGTTCAAAAGTGAATATAACAAACCCGACTGAAATTGGAACACTGCTCTTCGATTTCCAATTCGGAGCCGTTATCCATTACACCACCCGCATATCCAAACATACACCACGCAAGATGGTATTAGTGCGAAAATGAACATCGGCGACTAGGCCGGGATTTAAACTCAACTCGCCGATTCCTCACTAATAACCATTACACTGACCGCATATGATTTTATTATTAATAAAATTATAAACTCACTTTTTAATTACCTTTAAACCAAAACAACAAATAAACATTTCAGTATATAATGCTAATCGGTGATGCATATTTGCAAGTTTTATCACATACTGTTTTGAATATTGTCAAATAAAGGATTATTTCTGACCGTGTCGAGGAATATAAAACGTTAACTTTATTTATTTTCCAGGTAAAGGAACCACCGCCGTTGAAGGTTCCCAACCCTCCGAAAAAGACCAAAAAATGGGTAAACCCACTTGCGAATAGTCCCCCAGGTCCACACAAAGACGTCTTCATGAATTTCTTTGAATTTATGAAGAACGGACCAAAGAAGTGGACGTCGGAAGGAAACGCGCATGTCACAATCCGGCCAGTGCTTGATAAGCACGCTAGTCACCCGATTGGAGCCGAAATCATTCTCAAAGCAAGTCTAGATTATCCGACATGGACAAAAAAAGAGAATATAAAAGGAGCGTTTATATACGCAAAAAGCATCAAAATTATGCAAAAAGGCAAAACGTAAGTGTGTGCTTACAAATATATTTCACATGAAATCTATACAGTCTTTTTGAGAAAATACTAGAGGCAAACCCTTACAAAATACACTGTCCGGCCCTAATGGATTAAAGCGATGGTTCGTTCATTTGGTGATATAGTAATTGTGAGTTCAATCCTTTGGCAGAACAATGTGTACTTGGACTCAGTGAAATAACTGAAGAGTACTAAAATTAAGAACTAGGCGAAATCTACATGTTCTCCGCACAATACATTGGGAAAACTTGCATAAAATAATTAACATATATACGAACACTAAAGGGATCATATACATAACAATTTATCAAATTCATTAGTTATACATAATAATACATTCAATTACAACGTTGGTTTAACGAATGCCACACCTATTAAAAGAGAAAGTAACTTACTTAGAAGGGAAATTCTCGAGAGTGCCGCTATTGAATGTTATCGAAATATAAATCATGGACATGGACAGTGAAATGAGAACAGTTTAACACTGTAGGTTAAAAAAAAGGGTTAAATTTAGAATTTCCTGTAGGTCAAACAGACTGATATACACCTGATGAAGGTCATAGAGCACGACGGTTGAAACACTGTAATAGCAACAACAGAGATGAGAACAATATTTCAAATGTAGAGTCAATACGGATAACTCGTCATCCCAGAAATTCAGACAGAAATAAAACTATTAGATTGCTTATTGGCAAGAATAATTTTATATGTACAAAAATATGTAAACCAACTATGAGGAAATATTTATTGTTTACCATTTAAACGAAAACTGAGTAAATGATGTTCTTGATTTTTTTTTCTAATGCAAGTAAGTAATTAAATTATTTTAGTTTGGGATTTCATTTTAAATAACATGGGGTTATAAATTTAACCGTTTTCCTTTAATTTTTTAACATTTTTATAGTCATGTATGTTGGCTTGGGAAAAAAGTAATTCTTTCAGTAATGGAGATATTTGAAAAAAAAAATCCAGAGCGCAGATTTATATTTTGATAACATTCAATAGCGGCACTCTCGAGAATTTCCCTTCTAAGTAAGTTACTTTTTCTTTTAATAGGTGTGGCATTCGTTAAACCAACGTTGTAATTGAATGTATTATTATGTATAACTAATGAATTTGATAAATTGTTATGTATATGATCCCTTTAGTGTTCGTATATACGTTAATTATTTTATGCAAGTTTTCCCAATGTATTGTGCGGAGAAGTTTTGGCTTTTATTTTATATATAGCTGCTTCAGAATTCTGATTGTTATGTGTATTTTTTGGTTTTGATTATATCAATAATACTTTTGTATATATATATATATATATATATATATATATATATATGTGTGTGTGTGTGTGTGTGTGTATGTGTGTGTGTGTGTGTCTTTTTATATATATATATATATATATATATATATATATATATATAATTAATTTTTTAAAATATGTTTCCATCGCGATACAGAAATTACTATGTATCTAAACCAAAACTTAAATCTTAAATTAAAATTAAACTCAAAATTTGAAGTTTCGTTCCATTTTCAAGCGATGCTGAGAATAAACTTAAAAAAATTGATTTACTCTATTTATAAGCCAAATAGTATTATATATTTTAAATTGATGGGTTAATGAGAATTCAGAATTTTTTTTATTAATTGGGTGTTGGCATTTTTTGACGAATGAAAATACAAGTATAATTTTTATGTGTCAAATTGAAAGTCGGTTTCTTTAGGTGGGGGGTTAGAGATTTCTGTCTGTTGATACTGACTTCCTCTTATGCGGACTTGCCATCAATGTCTTGTTTTTTGTTTTTGTTTTTAATTTGAGTTAAAATACATTTTTATTTTTTTATTAATTTTCTTGTATTTTGAAACTACATCGAGATTTTCATAAAAAAGTATTCAAATATGATTAAGTCATATTATTTATATTTATATTTTAATTTATAAAGATCTAAAATACTATAGTTATTTTATTCACTAATAAACTATATATGGTATTGTAAAATTAAAATATTAGAGTTTAATTACGCATTTATGAATTTATTTATGATCAAATAATAAATTTATAATTATGCAAATTATTTTTATAATTAATTATTTTTTAAGGAAAATATGAGACAATGTCTACAAAAACTGCTATTTAATTTCTTTGATTTAATAAGTTTTTATTTTTCAGAAACTTAATAATATATAACTTTTCATATAGGTACAAAGGACATGGTTCATGTCTCGTTTTTTTATTAGTTTCCATTTTACTGATAATGTTTTATTTGTTTCTTTAAAATGCCAAAAATATTTGGATAGGGATATTTGGTTGCGATACTCAATATTATGGAAGGAAGTCAGATGTTATCTCTATCTTAATTTAAATTCATTGTTAGTACATCCTATATAGAATTTCTCAACATTAGGATTTTCAATAGATGAGATAGTATTTATTCAAGATTTTTTTTATTATGCTTTTTATATTCTTTTCTAAATCACGTAAGCCTGAATCAAAGAAATAGTGATCCATATAATATATAATAATATATAATAATAGTGATAAGAATAAACAATAGTAAAGATAAATTACGTAACTGTAGAAAGTCTGAAAATTGAATAATAAATGTCGCATAGAATCCGTGGTTTATTAATGCACTATTGCATAAAATATGGACACGTGGCCGATTGGTTAGACCGTTCGCATTCTGACCATGAGACCCGGATTCGAATCTCACCATTTGTTGGGAAGGAGACTTCCTGACGTTATTCGACTGGAGAGGTCGATCCCAGCGTGTGACACCTTTGAAAAGTACCCATTATTTTATTTTTAGAATCTAAAATATTTTAAATATCATTTTTGAATAGTTTTTGTATATAATTAAAATGAGAATAAGTATAAAAATTGTATTTTTTCGGGTTTTTTTGGGGGGTTTTTTTTTCCGTTTAAGGGATATGTTTTTTTGATCTTACAAATTCCAGAAAAAGTTTTTCATAAACAAATAAAAATAAATCGTTAAGTCCTAACTATAAATAAGACTGCATTTATAACATTAAAAAATGATTCCTATTCCCATAATTACTGTTGACCATGGACTAATTATTTTTACATTCATCAAATTTCAGTATGAAAGGACACTTCAGTATTGAAAGCACTAAGACACAAGGTGGAGTACTTTTTGAATTCGATATGTCCAAACATCAAAATTACCTGGATTATTCACACAATCTAACCTTGTGGTCAGTGGTGTCTGGTGAAATAACCAGGGAATTCATAGTGGACATAAAACATAGAGGAAACCATCTTTTCAATATGACCCAGCGCCTACTGACCGGACCATTAAATGGTAGCATCGACGTAATATACAACAAAAACCAGCAACTGGGCGTGCACTATCTCAAAATCGTTTCAGATATAAGCGACAGTTGCGAAGTAATAAAAAGCAAATACAAAAGCGAACGTAAGTTGAATTTTTTTTTTTTTTTTTTGCTTTTCTTTTGGCGTTAAACTAGAATGAAGTTCTATCTCCAATAAAACATCTCACGGTTTAGATGTTGGTGGTGACTGTCCGCTGGTATCCGCGTATACTTGCCTACTAGGATGGCTAACCAATCCCTGTTGTAGATGCCTGCTTGTTTAACATCCACAGAGCCCACCTGTATATGAGTATGCCAATCTACTAGGGCGGCTAGCTAAACACCTGATTAGGCACATTTTGTGTTTGTTCAACATCCACGGAGCCTACCTTTAGTTTATACTACAACTATGCTGAGCGGACCTTGTTTCGGGGGGGGGGCGCATTATCTAGCGTGATCAACAATCTGAACAAGGCCAGTACGCTTAAACAATCTGTCACGATGACTTGTAACTTTGTGCTAAAACAGCCATCGACGGTCCCCAAGGGTACCGTCTACCCAATTTCACTCACAAAGCTTGGGTTAACCAGTGGTATGATTTCCAGGTACCTCATGATGTGATCACTTCCTTCAGACCGATAACATCAAGAAGTCACCTTCCTGACAAATCGACCATAGTGAGATTCGAACCCAGATTTCATGGTTAGAAAGCAAACGTTATAACCACACGACCACGTGGCCATTTATAGTGGCAATTTATTCTAATCGTCCCGAACCTTTACTTGGAAAAAGCAGCCTGTATGCTGATAGAGAAAGAGTTCAGGGAATACACACAAATAGAAAGAGAAATAAGACAAGCATACGTTTTCTCACCGGATGAATTTTTAGTTGAGTAAAGGACCAGACACATCCTCCCCCATCTCCTCCCACTCCTGGAGGATCTATGTTAATTCCAGGATAGTTGGGGAAGAATCGGTGAAGGAGCAAACCAAGATTTTGTGCCAGGAATGCCCTTCTTACCTTTCACGTCATTCTTTGTTTTTTATTTCTTTTTTTTTTCTTTTTACTATTGTTTACTCAATGCAAATCACCAGAGCCTCTCAAAGTGACTGGCTGGTCGTTCGTATCCGCGTATGGCTATGGCTGATAGACAATCCCTGTTACACATTTGTGTTTATTCAACACCCACAGAGCCTACCTGTAACTATGCTGAGTGGACCTTAGTTAAAGTTTCTGAGAGAGAGCGTATTATCTGGCGTAAACAACAGTCTGAACAAGACCAGTGCGCTTAAACCCTCAGTCTCGATAACTTGCGAGCTCAACCATAGCCGGCTCCCAAATATTTCCGTCTACCTAATTTAACTCACAAGGCTTGGGTCAACGCGTGGTATAGATTGTCAGGCATTTTCCAAAGGTGCCGCACGCTGGGATCGCATATACAGGCCAATAACAACTAATCTCCAGAGCCCCTCAAAGTGGCTGGCTGGCTGGTCGTTCGTATCCGCGTATGGCTGTTGTGGATAGACAATCCCTGTTACAGATTTGTGTTTGTTCAAAAAGCCTACCTGTAACTATGCTGAGCGGAACTTAGTTACACTTTCGGGAAGAGAGCGAATTATCTGGCGTGATCAATAGTCTGAAGAAGGCCAGTACCTTCAAACCCTCCGTCACTAAGACTTGTGATTTCGTGATAGCACAACATTCAACGGCTCCAAAATATTTCCGAACTACCCAATTTCAATCATGAGTCTTGGTTCATCCCAGGGTATGGTATTCAGGCATTTTCTTGCTAGGATCGCCTACCTAGACCGATAACATCAAGAAGACATTTTCCTGATCATTCGACTACGATGAGATCTTGGAGAGGATGCTGACAAGGAGGATTCTCATGCTTAACATCAGGAAGAGCCAGCTGAAGTTTCTGGGACACATCATGAGGAAGGAGGACCTTGAGAATCTGATACTCACGGGTCGAATAGAGCGAAAGAGAGACAAGGGAAAGCAGCGCGTGACATTCCTGGCGGGCTTAAGCAGGTGAATGACAGAACGTGGTCTGAGGGAGATAGCAGAGGGAAGGAACTTGTTGAGAGCTGCAAGGGATACAGGGAGGTGGAGAGCCATGGTCGCCTACGTCCTGAAAGGACATGGCACATAAAAAGAAAAAGAAAGATGGTCGGAGAGCGAACGTTCTAACCATTCGGCAACGCATCCATAGAGTTTAGTATATAATTGAATCACAAAGTGTATAAAAATCGTATTTGACGCGTTTCGTCCTTCAAAAGGACTTCTTCAGGCTAAAGAACGTTTTTATTGATAGGATCGTATATATGTGGGGAAAGGGGGCAAAATACAAACAAACGTTGCTTATAATTATGGATAGAGAGAAACGCTGAAAATAAAAGAATGCTTTATTTTTAATTTTTAATTTCTGACATCCGAAGTGTCTAGTTGCACAACCTAGCCGCCACTATTCAGCTTCTTACCGCTTGATTTTGCTTTTGTCACTGTTATAAAAATTATATATAGCCATATCATTCTGTTGTTAATTTAGACTGACACCTTAATTTTTACACACACTTGTATACAGTACGATAAACTATGATTTTAAAAAGTAAAAATTTAATTGAAATATGTTAGAAAATTCCCAAGTTTTTAACTGAAATCAAAAAGTTGTGACGATAGAAAAAAATGTTGGTTGGTTGTTTTTGTTTAACGGCATGTCAATACCTCTATGGGTTATTTAATGTCGAAATCTAACTATTTTGGAAACAATGTTATTTTATTTTTTGCGGGGAGGGCAGTGGCGAAATAATAATGATTTTAGTGATATAAGTCTTACTAATTGACACATAACTGGTCGGGAGTGGGGAGAGGTAAATTCATGCATTTCCCAAGTCTATTTGCACCTAAGTGAATATAACGAACCCGCTGAAATTGGAACCCCAGCTCTCGGATTAACAATTCACAGCTATTATTCATTACACCATCCGCACATCCAAGCTTACAGCACCTGGAATTCTCAAGAGATAACTCATCTACGTACTGACCAGGTTCAACGAGACGAAAAAATAAAGTTTCAGTTTAAACTGACACTACAATGATATGTGTTAATTCTTCTTCTTCTTCTTCTTCTTCTTCTTCTTCTTCTTCTTCTTCTTCTTCTATGTGCTGTCTCTCTTCAGGACGTTAACGATGATGGCTTCCCACATTTACTGTCCTGTCATTTATTTCTTATGACTTTTATTACCGCCTATGATGTAAATTTCTACTTCAGGTTTTAGGCTGATATTAGTTTTATACTAGCAGTAGAGCCCGGCGTTGTACGGGGATGTAACAGTAAGAGATAGATCAAGTATCGACCATCATAAAGACTGAAAAATAAAATTGACAAAGATTATTGTTTAATGTTGACGGACACGAATGTCTTAATTAGTTTGTTTTTTTTTTACGAATTGGTCAAACCCAAACTCAAACAAAAACATTGTTTTCAATGTTTATGAGTCAATTGATTGGTGAATAGAATTTTATTATAAACAATTGTCTTGTAAATGGAATTTTTAAAGCATTCTGAATGTAAAAATAAAGAAAACAGTGTACAAGACAATACGAAACACTACCTGCCAAAAAAAAGTGAATTTTTGTTGAAATCGGTTGAAAAATGTAGGAAATCCGATCCCATATATAAACGAACACACACACACACACACACACACACACACACACACAAACAACCTGGGTTTTATAATAAGTATAACTCGATATGACTTGTTTCCCTTTCATTCTCGCGACAGCGATGCCTCTTAATCATGTTTTCAAATTGATTTCGTGCAAAAACAATTGTGTTTTTTCAATTTTTGGCGCTGTCAGAACCACCGCAAGGTAATTTTACGTAGTCCTGTGAAGTTTTGTTGAAATCGGTTGAAAAGTGTAGGAAATCCGATCCAATATATAAACGAACAGACACACACACACACACACACAACCTGGGTTTTATAATAAGTATGATTTTATTGTTTTATTAAGTAGTTGTAACAAATTTTACATTAAGTTCAGCTAAATTATTGAGCTTATAGATAATATTATGTGTGTAGTTTTATCACTATCATTTATATAATCTATTTTCATTTTTATGAATACGATAAGTTTACAACGTGTATTATATATGAAATAAGTAGGATACTGAGGGAATTTTCTTTTCACCATGTAAGAATTGAAGCCTACAAATTCCAAGTGCTTTTAATTAGAATCCAACAATTATACCGTATTATATTTTGTTGCTATAGAGGGAATAGAAATTTATAATATGACTTTTATTGGTAGATTTACAATAGACATTTAGTTTTCGATCATTAACAGTTCAGTTTAACATAATATTGAGCTAAAATAATGTGTTTGCTTCTGTTTCATAAGTAAATTCCAATTTACGTTCGATGTTTAGTTTATTTACAAGACCAGTTAATGTTGCTTTGTAAGAATATATTCATAACGTGTTTTCAGTATATCGAAAATGCATTGCAAGTAAAATATTGTGGAAAAGGACAAGTTTATAAAAGTTCTAAATAAATTCTAAAACACTTCTAAGAGATGATACTATCGATACTTCGAATTTTTGCTTATAAAAATCGAATTGTCGAAAGTAAAATAACATTGGTTATAGAAACATTTATAGAAAAAGCACACTATTATGGCGGTGTGAAAATGTCTGATGATCAGGGCCGATAACTTTGCAAATTCTTCTTTGGATTTTGTCAAGAATCTCTAGATATATAGCAGAAGCACTTGACCAGATGTAGTAGCAATATTCGATGCACGGACCAAAGGTAGATTTATAGATCCAGGCGAAAAGATGGTCTAGCGTAACATATTAAACTGGCTTTCTTTGCAGCAGGTTTAACAAATGCTAATATAAAATCGCTCCTCTTTATGTCAGTGGAAAACGTGAGACCAAGAAGGCGCAATGGGTTGCTCATCTGAAGGCTAACATCAGCCATGCCGATGGAAGGCAGAAAGGGTTCTCTCAGACGATTATAAGGGAATAGTTTCGTTTTGTAGGTGTTAAAATTAACAAGCCATTTATTGTTACTAAGAGTGAAAAAAACAGAAAGTACAATAAACGAATGTGGTTCAAGGAGAAAGATGAAGATTGACATTGCATTTAAATTTTTGAAAATCATAATTGACAGGAAAAAAGAAAACCGGAAGAAAATTTCACAAATTAGAAAAAATTATTAACAAAGAACTTATCATTAAAACTAGCTATTTCAAACGTTAAATTATGAGACCTAGCTGCCAATTCAGTACTGCGCTTAAATTTGTGAAGTCAAATATACCAAAAAAGAAAATTCATCAGGACAATTACCATGAAAATATAGGAGAGGCAAAAGAAAGCTATATTATGGTGATAGGAAAGCGATTGAAGCCAAGATGCCAGGTCAAGACCGATAAGTTTGCAGACCCTTCTTTGGATTTAGTCAAGACTTTCCAGACATATAGTAGAAGCACCAGACTAGATGTTATAGCAATATTTGATACCCAGGTGAATGGTAGACCTATAAATGTGAAAGAATAATTGTCAAGGACGGCATAGTAAAGTATCTTTTCAAGCAGCAGACCTGGCAATTGATTCAATATGATCTCTCTACTTCGTGTTAATAAAAAAAACGAGAGACCAAGAAGGCATAGTGAGTTTCTCTCCTGGAGGTTAGCATCAGCCATGCTGATGGAAGGCAAAAAGGCTCCTTTAAGATTATTAATAAAGGGCAGTTTCGTTTTAAAGGCCTTAAAATTAACAAGTCACTTCTTGCCCCAGTTAACAACTGACTGCAGGTCATTTTCGAGATCAGCTGCCAATTTGATCTTCTCGAACCTATCATACTTGCTATTAAGACAAGAGTAAATAGTTGCGTCATCAGCATAGATACCGAATCGGGAAATAGTCACGTCGGGAAAAGTATTTTTGTTGTGTGTATACTCCGATTGTCTGTAAATAAATTTTATTTGTTTGTCTCTGATATAAAAAGGCTAATGTTGTACATCAATTCTCTTGTCCTTTGGAGGACAGAATATTTATCGATAAAAAAAACATATATTGATCATACCATATATTGGGTTGAAACAGAAGATCGTAAAGTTTCATAAGTGAATTTCAAAGACAATATTTAAATATTCCACACAGATTTATTCAACCACATCTCTACCATTTTGTTCCACTACTTTCGACATATTTGAGACAGTTTCATGATTCCATCCCCCTCCCCCAAGAATTTAGCATTTACAATGCTTTACAAATTAACTTTTGTTGTGGTGTCCTCCCTCTAAAGAGTCTAAGTTAGACTCTTCCACCTAGTATAAGATTAGTAGGACAGAAGGTTTCGAGAAACTGTGAATAGATTGAGCGCTAGTTCATTTGATACACTCTCACTAGTCGTGTAATATTCTTCTGGTGTAATTGCTGTTTAATATATGATATATCTGCAAACCTGGTTTTTGCTATTACTTAACCATTTACTTGGTCACATCTTAGCCTTCAGTCCTACTAATCTTATACTAGGCGGAAGAGTCTAACATAAACTCTTTAGAGGGAGGACACCACAACAACTTTCATATGTTTAGGTTTTATTAAATTTCTAATCATCGCTTTTTAAAATAATAAACTTTGTCGAAGAATGAAGGTAGTTAAAATAAAAGCGATGTCATGGGTAAAACCGCCCTTTTGACACTACATTCTCCTGCGGCTACGAAGGTCTATGTTTGCCGTATTCTTAAAATATTTACTAAGATTCGAGAATAAAAACATACGATCTCTCAAGTTTTTACTTATTCTTCTGTTTTGTTTGTTGTTCTTTTTTGTATGTTTTTGCTTTTTTTAACGCTGTAACTCGAAAATATAGAAGTTAAGAAATAACGCGTTATTTGATATTTATTTTGTTCTCTTTACAGAAACCTGGAGTGGAATTTTTACTCCTGAATACATGTTAAAAAGAACAAGTTCTCTCGATCATCCGATATTTCGGTATGATTCCAGCTGGGACTTACAACGCAACGCTGATAAATTAACAATGGACTTACAGGCGAGAGTAAAACCCAAGGTATGTTCTCAACATATTTAGTTTATTGCAGCCAATAATCTTCGCTTTGAAATTCCTGGTACGAAAACGGAAAAGATACATTTATTGTATTGTTTTTTGTTTGTTCGTTTTGTTTTTTGTATTTGAATTTTTTTTTAAGGCCGTTCTGTTGAGTGTTGGAGGAAGGCAAACCAACGTAATTTGATCTACCGAGATAAGCTTGCTAATATACCACGTTAAAATGCCCAAACAGGTGAAATATGTTTATTTAAATGTAAATAGATTTTGGCACAAGGCCGAAGGGGAAGTGGGGGAAGACTGGTCAACACTAACTAACCTACACCTAGCTAATCTGAATCAGGACCCACTCGCTGTAACAAATGACGGCATCCTTCCACACCCAATCCGACGTTTACCAAAAGACCACATAGGGAATCTACTAATAACCCCACGATATAAAATGTTGTATACCTACAATATATTTTTTTTATATTATTTTATATATTTTTTCTCTAAATATAGCTAAAGATTTATATCAATGAAGGGGGAGGGGATGAACTCAATAACGAAAATAAAAATAACAAAACATTCAAACTAAAAAAAAAATTTTGTTAGTTGTTATGGAGTAGTTTCACAGTGGAGGCTTGTATTTCACTAAGTCGGTCCTAAAATAGTTTCGACGTACAAAACGTTAGGAACTTGTTAATTAGTGGTGGTCGCTGATACTTTAATATCCGACTGAATGACTGACCAACTCGCTGAGTGACTGGCGACTGCTACTACTCCTACTTATTATAGGTGGGAGAGTCTATTAACAATAGAATAGGTGTGTTCCAGTATAACATTATTAAACCTCGGGGCCGAATTTAGATGAAGCGAGGCCCTAGGCTATTCAACTTGCGAGGCCCCTCCAAATGACCCATTTTTACGAGTCCAGGAAACCGGAAGCGTGTTCAATTAAACAATTCCAGTAAAGCCGATGATTATGACGTGTGGTCAAAATTACTGAAGCCTAATTTAGAGTCTAAAACGCATTATGACAAAAACATTATACACCTTGGTTGGAGGCCCCCTAGATTTTGAGGTCCTAGGCTTCAGCCTGCTAAGCCTATAGGTTAATCCGGCACTGCGTCCCCGTCGCAAAAATAAGAACGCCCGCTGTATACTGCCGATAAGCGGAATAAAGACGCTCGTTCGCTTGAAGCGAAGGAGGGAGTGACAAAATAAATTACAGAGTCGGGAGATATCAAAGTCTCGTTAAGGGGATAAAAAAATTGAATAAAAACAAATTGAGGAGATTGGAAATTTTGACAAAAGAGAAAACCGGGAACGACAGTTTGGTGGAACTGCCTTTCTATACGATTCTATATAGTTAAATATGACTGACTAGCAGTAGAGCCCGGCGTTGCCCGGGGATGTAACAGTAAGAGATAGATCAAGTATCGACCATCATAAAGACTGAAAAATAAAATTGACAAAGATTATTGTTTATGGTTGACGGACACGAATGTCTTAATTAGTTTTTTTGTTTTTTTACGAATTGGTCAAACCCAAACTCAAACAAAAACATTGTTTTCAATCGTTATGAGTCTACCGATTGAATAGAATTTTATTATAAACACTTGTCTTGTAAATGGAATTTTTAAAGCATTCTGAATGTAAAAATAAAGAAAAAAGTGTGCAAGACATTAAGAAACACTACCTGCCAAAAAAAAAGTGAAGTTTTGTTAAAATCGGTTGAAAAATGTAGGAAATCCGATCCCATATATAAACGAACACACACACACTCACAAACAAACAACCTCGGTTTCATAAGTATAACTCGATATGAGTTGTCCCCCTTTCATTCTCGTGACAGCGATGCCTCTTAATCGTGTTTTCAAATTGATTTCGTGCAAAAACAATTGTATTTTTCCAAATTTTGGCGCTGTCAGAACCAACGCAAAGTAATTTTACGTAGTCCTGTGAAGTTTTGTTGAAATCGGTTGAAAAATGTAGGAAATCCGATCCAATATATAAACGAACAAACACACACACACAACCTGGGTTTTATAATAAGTACGATTAGCGGAGACAACACCATTGGCAAATTTGCATAGCAAAACAAGTTAACATAGAAATACCGGCTTTGTTTATTGACCATTCATAGCAGGTCTGTAGTTGCTACAATGAATTTCTAAGACGCACATATTGAGAAGGCCACAAAGACGTTATCATTTTGCAGTCGGTTACGAAGCCCTTTTGTCGAGTGATTACAACTAGTGATACAATTCATCAGCATAATTTTATTTTTGATGTAACACATTCCCTACGATTAGAAATGTTCATGTAAGATAACGTATGCCTCCTTTTGTTAATTTTTTTAAACGAAGCCGTAGGTCTTGTTGAAGACCAGCCCTCCTTGGGATGAGACGTGGTGTTCAACCCCCTCTAGAAAACTTGGATAGCGAACACATATCTTCCCACAAAACGCGAATAGCTATGACGTGGATTTGATTTCTCCAGAAATTGACGTTATTGCTTATCGTACCGAGGCCGAGGTTAGCCTACCGACAAACATCACTCAGAATTTAAATTTTCTTTTTTAGAATTGTAGTATAAGACGGACCACAATTTTTAAGAGTGATTTTCGGGATTTAAAGGTCGTCTTATACGCGGAAATATAAGGTATATGTAGCATTATACAATAAAGATTTCAGATCTAGAGCAAAGTAATGAAACTATCACGAGAAGAAGTAAAAGAACTACTAGAGGTATAAAACCTATACGTTTCAGGGAGATGTAGTGATACTGGCAAATTAATATGCCTAATTGGCATAAGTGCAAGAGAAAGACTATATAACTGAGAATAACGCGATTTGGAAGACAAGCTTAGCGACTGACTAGTGCTATACATCGACTTCACAACAAGATCAAAATTCATCTAATAACAAGTGAGAAGCTACTGATTTATTGACACACACTCTTACTTATATATGCATATTTTGATTTTCATTAGATTTACTTTCTATTTTGTTTAGTTTCTTGTATATAAATTGTATTCATTGTAAATATTCATTGGATTCAATTTTAAATGTTATTATTTACATTCCCCGTCCCCACAGACAAATCGTTAGGACTACATAGAGACTTGAGATATTATGATGGTTGTTGTAAGAATGGTAAGTAAAAATGTGTTTGCTTTAATGTAAGGAACATTGTGGTATGTCTGAGTTAGCAATCATGGCTAGCTAATTTGAAGATAGATTGAGGACCAGCCTTCCCTTAACCCGCCCTTTTGATCTTGTGTCATATTTTTGTATTTTCAAAATAAAATATTACTTATCCCTTTTTCTTCATTAGAGTTTCATTTTTTTAAGTTGTTATTTTATTCCTCCCCACACACAAATTGTACATATGGGAACTAGTTAGGACTTCATAGAGACTTTGAGGTATTATGGTGACTGTAGTAAGAACGCCAAATAAGAATGTGTTGTTTTGGTGTAAGGGATACTGTGGTATGTTTGGGTCAGTAATTGTGGCTAGCTAAGATAAGACAGATTGAACATCCTTTCCCAATCCCCCACCCACTTTTGGTCTTGTGCCACATTTTTGTATTATATCAAAATGAATATCACTTTAATCACAAATTTGATTAATTTGTTTATTTCTCTTTTTTTCTCTGACAGATAATATTTCTAATCGAAACTGATGGACATGTAACTATCCTCTTCACAAAGGACATGTCGCTGCCAGACGTAAAACTTAAACTGGATCTGCCCAGAAATGGAATAAAATTCAGAGGAGTCGTTGAAAGTGAAAAAGAATTCAAGTTAAAAATGGACTTCAAGGTAAAAAGAAATTTACACCGACATATCCAAATTTTGAAGAACGTAACAGGGTAACAAGTGTTCTATTGAATGATGCTTGATTCTAGGTAATTTGGGTGCACTGAATACGAATTTCAACAGGTCCTGATTCTTGTCAACAGTGTCATTTTCCAGATTTTCAAATTAAGACTAAAAATTATTTATTCTTTTTTTCTAAGTTTTATGAATACAAGCAATTCAAACTACAGTAAAATTGCATTATAACGATAGAAATGACTTAAAATAAAAAATCAGATATGAAGATTTTTTTACGAAATCAGCTATATTTACTTGTTGATGCGGAAGTGTAAAATTTCCACATATAAAACAAAAGGAATTAGGGTTGTTCTTGCATTTTAACTTTCTAGTGCTTGATTGCTCTGCCAATTTTTAAAGGTATTTAAAGCCGTTGATTTATATAAAGAAAATTTTAAATATAAACACAAAAATTAGTTTATATAGAAACTTATGTAATAGGTACTAAAATCTATGAAATTAAACTAGAAACACGGATGATTAGGTACAATATAAATCAGGTCTAATTAAATCAACTATTAAAGCACGATGACAAGATTACTCATTAAATCATATGCCAATTCCAAATTATGTTAGTTGCATAAAGTGTAAAAAAGAAAAACACTTTTTATGAATACAATGAAAGAGGGGGAATGCTCAGCGAAATCAGGTCCTAATAGAACAAAACCGAGTAAAAATTCATGTTTAGCGCATCCAAATTCGATAGAACTATCAAATGTAATTCCATAGATAAACAAAAATTGAAATTTATTCCCCAGTGTAATTATTAAAATATCTGTGTCAATAGAATTTAATTTGAAGAATTCTGTTTAAATTCAATACCTTCTAAGTTTAGGTAGTTTGACGCAAGGCTGAAAGACAAGAGGAAGATTGTAGTATGCGTTTTTTTTAGTTGCAAATGCTTGAGTGCCTTTAAAATAAGCATTTAACTATTGATAAACGATTGTCTACAAATTGATTTGTTTGGTTGTTTTTTGTTTAGCGGCATATCAACAGCTCTATGGGTTATTAAATGTCAAAATCTAAATATTTTTGTACACACTTTTATTTTATTTTTAGAAATAATAATGGTTCAGTAATACAAGTCTTACTAATTAACCTATAGCTGGGGGGGGAAGATTCATGCCTTTCCCAAGAGTATTTGTGCCTAAGTGAATATAACGAACCCAACTGGAACTCGGCTCTCCGATTAACAATTCCGAGTCATTATCCGTTACACCGCCCACGCATACAAGCTTACAGCACCTAGTATCCCAAGCGGTCACCCATCTAGGTACTGGCAAGGCTCGAAGTTGCTTAACTTCGGTGATAGTAAGGGGACCGGTGTTTCAATGTGGACATAAGCGAAACTGATTTGGTGGAGCTGAAGACGGCGGGAAATCTGTTCCTGATTTCAATTGCTGACAATAAAATGTCTTATTCCGAATCAGGACAAAATGGACACCTGTTTATTTGTTTGGTTGTTTAGCAACATATCAACTCGTTATGGATCATTTAATGCCGAAATTTAATTTTCTTGGGAGCACTAGCTATGTATTCATTACACCACCCGCACATCCAAGTTTACATCACCTGGTATTCCCAAGGGGTCACCCATCTGCGTACTGATCAGATTCGGTGTTTCAACGTGATGTGGCCGTAAGCGTTATATGTGCAATATACTATATTAGTTTCAGGTTATAATATCGATCCTTACTAAAAATAAAATACAGATAATAAATCTTTTGGCATGATGTCACGTTTTTATTATCCCGACAAAATAAGTATGATATAAATTTTATTTATAAAGAAATCTAAAAGATATAGACCATAGAAAATATATTTTATTAAAATAGCCATACTATCCTCGACTCTCCTTACTGACCTTCCCAATCTTTTTTCTGTCGTTCATTTACACAAGCTTGAGAAGTTTCTCACTGTTTCCCTATGAACCTCATACTTTCAATATACTTCAACCCCTTTTTCCTCATTATGCGTCTAAGAAATCAGAAGTTCACAAGCTCTGTCCATGGTATTCTCAGCAACCTTCTGTAGAAACACATCTCTTTTGCTTCGAGCCTCCTCTTCAATTGTAATGAAACTGTCCAGCCGTCACTGCGATATAAGAGAATCGATATTGCATAGTTGCTCAACACACTTTACTTTATAACTCATGAAATCTTTCTCTTTCTTAATATATTTAATTTTATATTTCAACAAGAAGAGTCTGAGATTATAACGATAGAGAAATAAGGTGCCATTATCAATTGATATCTTTTATGCCTGAGATTTGAAAAGATTAAGCAGTTTACCAAAAATCTAGACGAATCGGAATCAAATCAATAATTCCTATTCAAATATGGTTTGTCTGACTTTAATCAAAACTGCTCAGTATTACTCTCTTCAATGTGTACTCATGGCACGTACCATATTTACCAAAAAGTATTTACCTCACTCTGACAAACATAAAAACTGACATGTTAATTCAAATCTTAATTATGAAATATAAAAGTAATTTCTTTGAGATCTTCTCTGTGTCATGTCCCTTCAGGACATAAGTAATCATGGCTCTCCAAATCTTCTTATTCTTTGTAGTTCTAAGTAATGTTTGTCTCTCCCAATCCTTATTCTGTCGTCCATTTACACAAGCTTGTTGTGTAAGTTACTCGCTGTTTTCCTCTTTATCTCTTGCCGCCAATATCCTGTGAGTGTCAAATGCTCCAAACCAAGCTTAAACTGTGGCAATTACGCAGGTGATTGCAACGAATATAACAGCATTACGCTTACTCTGCTCTCCGATTAACAATTCTGAGTTACATCATCCGCACATCCAAGGTTACAGCACCTGGTAATCCGAAGCGGTCACCCATCTAGCTACATCTAGCTTTGCTTAACTTCACTAAAGCGTTAGCGATCTGATCATAAGACCTGATTTCGAATCTTCGCCCGTAGGAAGAGAGTACAACCGTGCAGTCAGTTCAAAACTTGAACGACTGACGATATTCAGTCACCCACCCACGAGGGTGTCATGTGGCACAAGGCCTTTTTAACGTGGGCATTCCCGAGCCATTAGGCTCGGCCAAAAAATAGCCCATTTGAACCCGTATAAACGGTTTCAGGGCCGGTTTTACCTCCCCGAAGGAGACTCCGCCCTTCGGCGTAGCCTCCTTCGGGTTCCTCCCGCCCGTAGGAAGAGAGTTTAACCGAACAGTCGGTTCAGACTTGAACGACTGACGATTTCAGTCACCCTCCACGAGGGTGTCATAACACAAGGCCTTTTTAACGTGGGCAATTCCCAAGCCATTAGGCTCGGCAAAAAAATAGACCATTTGAACCCGTATAAACGGTTTCAGGGCCGGTTTACCTCCCGAAGGAGACTCCGCCCTTCGGCGTAGCCTCCTTCGGGTTCCTCCCGCCCGTAGGAAGAGAGTTTAACCGAACAGTCGGTTCAGACTTAAACGACTGACAATATTCAGTCACCCCCCCACGAGGGTGTCATGTGGCACAAGGCCTTTTTAACGTGGGAATTCCCGAGCCATTAGGCTCGGCAAAAGCCCAGGAACCCGTCGGCCGAAGGAAAAAGTTTAAGAACAGTCGGTTTTGAACCTGACGATATTAAACGGAGGGTGTCATATGGCACAAGGCCTTTTTAACGTGGGCAATTCCCAAGGGCTCGGCCAAAAAATAGACCATTTGAACCCGTATAAACGGGAGTTTTACCTCGAAGGAGACTCCGCCCTTCGGCGTAGCCTCCTTCGGGTTCCTCCCGCCCGTAGGAAGAGAGTTTAACCGAACAGTCGGTTCAGACTTAAACGACTGACCCCTTGCCTACTCCTGAGGCGCAGTATTTATTAAGTATGGAATAGTCCATTATTATTATTATGGGTAAGATCCCATAACACCCCCCTCTTCCGAAGCTTTTGCGTAGCAGGTTTTTTTTTAATATCTTTTTTTCTTTGGATCTATTTCCAAAGGTTCAGTGAATTTTTTTTTTCTTGACGATTTTCTTAGTTCTGGCATTGTTTGTGGACTTGTTATATCGAATGTGTCGAAAATCGTGTCCAATACCTCTTCTTGAGGTGGACCGTTAGCATCCTATAACGGTTTCTTCCTTATTTGGTTTACGTGTCTTCTGTGTGAGAATTTTTTTCCTTGAACTATGTACATCATATTACCAATTCTTTTCTCAATTATGCCTTGCTCCCAGTAAGGGGTATTATTTTTATATGCCTTAAAAAAACTTTTTCTCCTGGGAGGAATTTTCTTTTTGGTGGTAGGACTGTGTTACTTGTTTTGTTTTACTTGGTAGTAATTTATCGACTGGAATTTGCAGGTACGCCTCACTTAAATCAGTTTTTGAAAAATATTTTCCATCATTTAATTTAGTGAATACTTCTTCTGGAATGGGTAGAGGATGGTGGTAGTCCTTTATTGCTGCGTTCAAACTTGTAGAAAAATCAGCACAAACTCGAATTTCTCCTGATTTCTTTTTAACGTAGACCGTCGGTGCGGCCCATTTGCTGTACTCTACTTTTTTCAATATGCCCGTATTTTCGAGTCTAGTTAATTCTTGGTCAATTTTTTCTATTGACGCAAACGGTACGCTCCTTTTTTCCTTGAAAACAGGTTGAACGATTTCCTTTATTTCGATATTACCTGCCATTTTCTTACATCTTCCGAGACCTGCTGAAAATACTCGTTTTTACTTTTCCTTTTAATTTGTGTGCCTCGGTTGATAAGCTTTTTAAATGTTGGCAGTACGTACTAATAGGTAAATCCCACAATTGGAATTTTTGCATCCAGTCTGTTCCGAATAGGTTTTCGGTATTTCTTAAGACGTACATTTTTAGTTTTTTCGTCATTCCATTAAATGTTACGTTTGTAATTACTTCACCCTCGAATTTTATCTTTCTCCCCGTAACTGATCTAGCAATTTTATCCGATTTTAACATGACAGGTTTGTTCAGTTTTTTCCATGTTTGTAGGTTTATGATAGTTAAGTCTGAGCCAGAATCCAACTGTAACCTAACTCTTCTGTTTTACATTTCAACTTGTACATATTTTCTTATATTAGTCTCATCTGCTTGATCAGTCCTCGTAATTCTTATTCTGCTTTTGCTTTCTTTTCTATACCAACAATGAGAACTTTTGTGGCCAATTTTTTTACATGATAGACAAGTTTTAAAACGATATGTACAGTCTTTAACCCAATGCCAAAGCCCACAACGATAGCATGGACTGGGTGGTAGTTTTTTTATGTTGATTATAATTAGAAAATTTTGTTTTGCCTGTTCTTGAGGCGGGAAAATCGGTTCGGTTTGTTTGTGAGGAGGGAAAATTTGTTTGCCTTCGTACTTTGCGTACGTGTGCTATGCCAGCTTGTTCTATGTCTTTTGAGTCTTTCTTCACACTGATGCATCCCTGACAGTCTTCGGCTAGTTTTTGAAGTGTCAGATCTTGTTCACTCTCCAATTTAGTAAGTATTCTGTGTCTCATTTCCGCGTCTTTGGTTGAAACCAGGCCTTGGACGTAAATTAAACATTTGAAATTGTCCGTGCTGAGTTCCGATAATCTGAAGTCGTCACAATATTTGTTAACAATGGATGCGAAAGTTATGTAATCTTCGCTGTCCTTTTTTGTAAGGTTCAAGCATTTCCATCTTTTATGGAATAGTGAAGTATTATGGCTGAAAAGTTCCATTAGCAGTTTTATGGATTCTTTGAACGTTAACTCGCTTGTTTTTCTGGGAAGGATATAATCTACGAATTTGGTATATTCGCCTGTGCCTAATTTTCTTAGTAATAGGCGTACTTTACGTGCGTCTGACCAATCTTTGCAGTCAAAATCATATAGATCTTCGTACCTTCGGAAGTAATTTGCAAAAGTTTTATCTTCGTCGGGTGCGTACTTAAAATCTTCGATATTACTCCAAATAGCGTCTTGTGAGAGAACTGTTTCGTTCTCGGATTTTTGCTCCTTATTTGTCATTGCACGTAACAATAATTCTTGCAATTCCAGATGTTTCTGTTCGTACCTTTGTTGCTGTTCAAATTGGATTTTGATAAGTTCCATAATGGTTGACTTAAAATCTTCCATGTTAACGTATTTTTTTTTGTCATCTGATATTCTGTAACCTGTGCACGCAACAAAAAAAATTTCCTTTGTAGTCAGTAAAAATTTGATATCAAAAAAAAGAATTTTTTTCTTTTTTTTAGAATTAGTTTCGTATTACCCTTTTAGGGTTTCCACGTCGCCACTTGTTACGCGCGACAGATAGCAAACAAAAAAAAAGGTTTGTCCTCCGCGTAGAGAGTTGGTTTCGTGAGTTACTTCGTCGCCACTTGTTATGCGCGACGGATAGCAAACAAAAAAAAAGGTTTGTCCTCCGCGTAGAGAGTTGGTTTCGTGAGTTACCTCGTCGCCACTTGTTATGCGCGACGGATAGCAAAAAAAAAAAAAGGTTTGTCCTCCGCGTAGAGAGTTGGTTTCGTGAGTTACCTCGTCGCCACTTGTTATGCGCGACGAATAGCAAAAAAAAAAAAAGGTTTGTCCTCCGCGTAGAGAGTTGGTTTCGTGAGTTACCTCGTCGCCACTTGTTATGCGCGACGGATAGCAAAAAAAAAAGGTTTGTCCTCCGCGTAGAGAGTTGGTTTCGTGAGGTACCTCCTCGCCACTTGTTATGCGCGACGGATAGCAAAAAAAAAAAAAAGGTTTGTCCTCCGAGTAGAGAGTTGGTTTCGTGAGTTACCTCGTCGTCACTTGTTATGCGCGACGGATAGCAAAAAAAAGGTTTGTCCTCCGCGTAGAGAGTTGGTTTCGTGAGTTACCTCGTCGCCACTTGTTATGCGCGACGGATAGCAAAAAAAAAAAGGTTTGTCCTCCGCGTAGAGAGTTGGTTTCGTGAGGTACCTCCTCGCCACTTGTTATGCGCGACGGATAGCCAAAAAAAAAAAGGTTTGTCCTCCGAGTAGAGAGTTGGTTTCGTGAGTTACCTCGTCGTCACTTGTTATGCGCGACGGATAGCAAAAAAAAAAAAAGGTTTGTCCTCCGCGTAGAGAGTTGGTTTCGTGAGTTACCTCGTCGCCACTTGTTATGCGCGACGGATAAAAAAAAAAAAAAAGGTTTGTCCTCCGCGTAGAGAGTTGGTTTCCTCGTCGCCACTTGTTATGCTGTGGCGAACGAATTTTTTTTTCTTCCACCGAATGAATTCGAATCTTCGTCGCCACTTGTTATAGTCCGGTTCCTTGTACCACAGTGATAGTCCAAGGTAGAACCAATAAAGAAGAACGCAAACACAGGTATGGAATAACACAGATATATTACAAACAGGAATATATACAGAGAAGTAGAAGTGTTAGTATGAACAATCAGGTTTAGTAGAGAGAACAATGTAGTCTCGACCAGTATCACTATTCCAATGTCTTGCAGTAATTGTCAGAACGCCACTTTGTTTCGGACTGCCTCTGACTCGACTCTTGACTCGGCTTGAACTACTGACCCCTTGCCTACTCCTGAGGCGCAGTATTTAAGTATGGAATAGTCCATTATTATTATTATTATGGGTAAGATCCCATAACACCCTCTCTTGTTCTATCTCTCTTATCCTCTCTTAGTCTAACCTACCCTCTCTTGTCCTCTCTCTCTTAATCTAACTTACTCTCTCTCTTGTTCTATCTCTCTTATCCTCTCTTAGTCTAACTTATCCTCTCTTGCCCTGTCTCTCTTACCCTCAATATGCCCGTCACGGCAAAGGGAAAGCAGTGAGTCACTTACCTGACGAACTTTTGTGAGTGGATCGCTGAACGGTGGTAGTGTAGGGCTTTGCAAAGAGAAAGAAACTGCTAAAGGGATAGAACAAGGGATAGAAAATTGTGGAGAGCCATAATCGCCTATGGGACGCGACACGTAAGCAAAATAATCGAATCTTTTTGTTTTTCAAATTCCTTCTTCGATTTCTTTATCGCATATGATTAATTCTGACAATTTAACAGCGCCTTTATTTTCAATATTTCAGAAACCTGGTCAACCAGTCATTTCTGGAATTACTTGGTCAATCATTTTGGATTCTCCCACTAAAGTCAAGAATGTAATTATCTGGAATCCACACCTTACCAAAATGACAACAAAGACTATTAATAGCTTACGTCAGCCAATCATGAGACAAATTAATTATCAAATGGATGTAATGATCACAAATGTTTTGAAACCCTTCTCTGATATGCTTTTAGCACCAACCGGTTTGGTATGTATGATTCTTTTCTTTTTTGCTTCTCTTTCAGTTATCAATAAAAATTATCCTAACAAAGACAATTAATGAAGGCAAGCAGCATTGACAATGTGTTAAAATGGCAATAAATTACAATGACTTCATACTATGATAATTAACACAAGAAATGTCCTGGTCTCAAAAATCACAATACAACCCAGATCACAGAATTAAAAAAAATCACTAATATACATCCAATCATTACAAAGCTTGTCTCCTAACATTAACAATAATGAACCTCCCGATAAAATTAAAAATCTATTAAAAAGTGTAAGGAATAATAAAGCATCACTAGATATTGAAACTGAACCTTTGTAAATTGCTTACTTTCTTCCTTAATTCAATAACAAGTTTCTAAATTTTATGAAGGAAGTTTGGAATCAAAAAGTGTTTATTGCGCATTAAGGCACTATGTAAACAAAAAGATATAAGGAAAATAAGGTTACAATTATATTCACACTTCTATTGTCTTCTATTGATCATTTGAGTGTGTGTTTTTCTTCCTAAATCGAACATTGAAACTAGCATTGTCTTATAGTAATTCTGAAAAATATTTTAGTGGTAATCAATATTCAACAAGCAAATTTGGTTGATTTTTGTCAATATTTCGATATTTATGTTAACTACCACTACCAAAACAAAAGGTTTGAAAGGAACTCCGCATCATCGCTAGAAAGAGCGATAACAGTTAGTGGAGACGTCTAACTTTGTGATGCAAAATTACAAAAAAGAAGATGGCATAGTAACAGACCTTATGAAAGACGGAGTAGAAGAATTCCACAAAGAAAAGAATTAACAAAACTATCTTAAACATTGTTCCGCCATCCATCCTAGCGAGCTTGAGTAAATGGATAGCGGAACAGGGTTTAGGAGAGATAGCAAAAAGACGATATTTATTAAGAGCTACAAAGGACAGGATATTGTGGAGAATTATGATCGCCAACTCCTGAAGAGGCGCAGCAAATAGAAGAACTATCTAGTGTATAAGACAGGAAAGACAAATGTGAAAACTTCAGCCCCGAAGTAGAAATTCTACTTTGCGAAAAACGAATGACTCCTTAAAGAGGATAATAGTTTTTCAGATTCTATAGATTGGCGCTACATAATCGCAACGAACGTTACCAAATAAAAAAAAACGCACCATTTCAAACACTCCAACAGCAACAACAAAAATGACTTGCATATGTAACTAGAAGAAAAACTAATTATATAAGAAGTTAAGTTTACACCTAGTCTTAAACAAAAGGCTAGGAAGGAAACTCCCATCAATACTAGAAATTATGATTGCACCTAGTGAACTTGAAGAGTCTAATTTGCGTAAAAACTGTTGTAAACAAATGATGGTAAAATTTCAACCGGCAGTAACGTTAACTATTCGGTTCATTTGTTGATGTGTCTTATATGTCGTAAATTATTACATTTAGTTTTGTTTAATGATGACTGCCTTACTACATTACATTGGGTGAAACATTTTTGGAATGTTCTGCTTTGTTCCAATTTGTTGCTTGTCTATCAACTTTGATATGAAAAGTACGAAATTCCAAATAGTTTTTTCTATACAACAAAGATATGCATAAAATCTTGAAAAAACACTATTATAGTAACACAATAAATAATATAAAGAGATCGTATCTAAGGATTAAACAAAATGTAACGCTATGAAACTACTTACTTGGCCGGCTCAGTGCCTCACAAATATCAGTAAGATCAAAAGAAAACATTGGACTATCATTGTCGCATGAGGTCTGTCCTTTCTTCCCAAACCAAGTTCCATATGTAGTCATCACTACCACTACCATTTAACTGAAGTGGCTAATTTTACCATTACCACTACCATTTAATTGAAACGCATAATTTTACTATTACTATTACCGTTTAATGGCTAATTTTACCATTACCATATAACAAAATCGTTAATTTTTTACTTACCATTAGCATCTAACGGAAATCCCTGATTTTACTATTACTATTGATATTTAATGGAAATTGGTAATTCTGCTATTCTAGTTTAATGGAAATGGTTAATGATCATTACCATTCTTATCATTCTCAGAATATTTGCCTACTGGAAAATGTTTCAGGCTTGTACCGTATTTTGTTTTATTTAATTTCTTCCTCCATTGAAATAGCGCGATATCTGCTCTGTTTCGTTTTATTATTGTTATAAAAAAAGACAATAAAATTAATATGCACACCGCGAAAGGCATTTCCATTCTAAATTCTTCCTGATGAAAAACTAGCTTTTCTCTCTCTACTTAATAACATATTCTTTTCTCTAAAAATATTCCCTCTGTTATATACTGTACCAATGAACACAAATGGGTATGTCCCAATCCTCATAAATACGTTGGGCACTATTGTAAGTGGGGACAATATGCTGCCTACACTGCAGCGTGGAAAGTTCTTGCCGTGTCGAACTCTCTGCCTTTGGGCAGAGAGGAACCTGGGCAAGGCTATGCTCTGGTCCGGAGAGGCAGACAGATACCCGATCCCGCGTATGCAGTGTCTGCAGGCAATTTTTGCACGAGTCCACGGGCTCGGATTTCCCCACATTAAATTTGGCTTTGTGCCACATCCTATCTCGTGGGGAGGCAGGTAAATATCGTAATATGCTGTCTAAGTAGTCCACCATTAGCAGTGGTTTACCTACTTCACGCCGCTGGCGAGTATGGTATTTTGTTGATGTTATATAGATTACCATTTCATTTCCAAATTCTGTTTATCTATTCCTCATTCAGTAACCCGTTCTAGGTTGCAACACCCCCAAATGTAAAAAAGGTACGCAAAGAAAGAACATGTAGCAAGAAGTCATTAAAAAGCTTATGTGCGAGTTTTTTTCTAGTTCCTCTTTCCATCAACAACAACAAAAATCGATTTTTATTAAAAAATTTATTTCAGACTGTCAGTGAACTGTTCGATGTTATTGTGCTGTCCAACATTCGATCTGTGATTCCATATTTGGATAACTTGCCACTATCTTCACGCCCAGTATCACATGCTGTCTACGAACGATTGTACAAATTGGGAATTGCCTATGAGAAAGTCCAGAAATCTATTGGCAGCAGTGGTTTCGGTAAGTAAATAACTTTACTATTGACATACATTCTATATGAGGCACTAACCTTTTTCATAAGCAGGCCCTCAAAATCACTGTGTTATACACTAACTCGGAATGTTACTCATTTTTCAACATCTGCTATGGCATATTTAAGGAACAGTTAGTTAATGTTATGTTACTACTTCATCATATTCTGTGCCAACATAGGATTATGTCCATTGAAAGCCGTTAAATCCTATGGAAATAATAAAGGGGAATTCGCCATTTTGGTTCCAAATTAATCACTACATATTGTCTTCTTTCTCATTTATTTAATGCAGAACATTGTTCGATTAGCAGATTTATCGTGTGATATGTCACCCATTTTTCATCACCTGTTTTGATATATTTAAGGAACTTTCCACTCGACAGAATCTCAGAGCGTCTCCGTGTCTTTACGGGTGACGAATTATTTCCCACCCTACAACCTCCCTTCTCACAGACGAGACGTCGATAGCCTCTCGCTGCTGTAGCGCTATTTTCTTGGAAAGTGTTCAGATGAATTACACTCCTTATTTCCACCACTGATATAACATTCACGGCTAAGACCCGCCATGTTGCGCACATTCTAGCGAATCACCCACATTCATTTAGTAAGATGTAACTTCCACTCGAGTAGTTTCTTTCAACGAGCCACTGCCTTGTGGAGCCGACTCCCAAGAGTTTGCTTCGCCGATCACTACAATCTTAACCAGTTCAAGTCTAGAGTCGTCCGTTATCTTCCACAATCCGCATATCCACATAATCTGTGCCTCTTACTCTATAATCCTCTACCTCGATTCACCCCAGGGCCTTGTACAGGATAAAGATCATTGTAAAAAAAATTAACAAAAAAAAAAGATGATACATTCGTCATTACAATTGGTTTCCCAAAACGAAAATTACTTATGACTCAAACTAATATTTTAAACGAATCTTGATTTATTTCTTTTCAGATGATCAGTACCAACATCTGCGAAAGGGTTTTACTGTCATACTGAGCACCATTTTAAAGTATATTAAGGAGAGGATAAATCATCCGCCTCGAATCGTGAGCGACTATTTCACACAGATCGTCAGTCCGCAGCTAATGCCGTCGGTCGAATCAAACACGTTTGAGTTTTCAATAATGCATCCTTTCATCTGGGAGTCTTTTACTGTAAGTTGATCGTTCTTACTCAATTATTTCGTCTGCCAATCATTTTTCTCCTGGATTTTACCGAGTTATTTTGTCAGAAAGCACGCTAGCTGAATATTGTAAATTTGATAACAGAATTGAAATATCTCTTTTCCACTGCGATCACGACGAAAATAATATCGCCATTAGCAAAGAAAAATAGAAAATATGATTCCTTCGTTTGAATGAGTAGATGTAGCATGCAATAAAATCAAATTATGTGGAACTGTCTGCTTTTTAAAATAGAAGTCGTTTAAAGAAATAAAAGAAAACGTAGTAATCATTGTGAGAAAATATAACTTATGTAAGTGGCTAAAGAATTCATTGGTTTTCCTTGTAAAATCGTTTGTGCTATTTTACAGAATGAAATGCATGACACAGATTTTCGACCTGTATAATACATTAGATATTACTAGAAATACTCGTGAAAACTTCAGTTTTCCTATTTTCATTTTCTGATGAATCTTAATTCTTAAGTTAATGATTGAGTAAGCTCATGGCGAATTCTACAATAAAATATCCATTCACATTATTTACATCGTCCTCATCTTTGTTGCCATATTCACGACGTTTCGGCCGTTGTACTCTCCGGCTTTCTTCAGGCGATTAAAATTTCGAACCGAACCCTTTGTTTCCTCCCCCGGAGTCGATTGATCGAGTTCCACGTGCCATGCCTCTTCCGGATATATAGTTTCAGTTATTACCCTTTAGTAACTCAACTCTCTCTTTTGTTTACCTCTGCTGTAGCCAGGTACTGGATTACTTCAACCAATGCTTTTATCCACACGGCCATGTGTCCTTGGGGGATTTATATATCTAATGTCCCAGTAATCATTTTGTTACCATTTTTATTACAATTTGTTGTTATTATTGCTTTACTCTAGCACTATGTATTACTGGTTCCCATATTGTATCTATGTCTAAGCTTGGCCGGCTTAGGAGATTTTTGTGGCCTAACATATACCACCGTTTACATTGTTCGGGCTATTGTTCTCATATCTGTTGTAAGATACCTGTAGAGATTACATTATCGCATCGTTAAATTAGTTGAGCTTAACAACTTTAACAAAATTGTTGTGGTACGATCCACCTAATTTACATAGTGGAGTACCGACCATATAAATATGGGTTGGTACCGGGAAGACAAAAGAAAGTAACAAGAGATCCAATCCAGAGACTCTGCCCGACTGCGATTAAGTCAACCCATTCTATAGGAACAGTCTTCCCAAGAATATACCAAAACTAACTGTAAATATTGTGTACCTTTTCCTTGTTTCAATACATTTTGTTTACGTACATTTTGTGTTGTATTATTATTATTCCATGCTTATCCAAGCGTCAACAAAAATATTGCAATAACAATCATGAATATGAATGCTAGTCGTTATTTTAAGAAGTGGGTACAAATGAACAGATTTGAAATGTTGCGAGCTTCTGACTGCTCTATCGCTATTTCCATGGAAAGTGTTCAGACGAAATACATTCATTAATTCCACCAACTAAAAATAAGTCTGTGTTATTTAGGTTGATCCAGTTAAACGTCTTGTTGCCCCAAATAAGCAAAGGGAATCATTATAGACTTATCTCACTCGTTTTGTTTGCTTCTTGGGATGTCTTGATTAACTGGTGTCGATAATAACTGGAAAATACTGTATTAAAAAATTATTGATGATCTCATCATTTGACTCTTGAAATTGCTAATTGTAACCGGAAGTTCTATTCTAATAGTTCCTTCTCTCGCACTTCTGACTAGTGGAACTCTTTTCCAGCTTCTTACTTTCCTGTCAACTACGATCTTTAAACATTTAAAGGCAACGTTAATCGTCATTTTTTTGTCTTTTTAAACACTGTTTGTTGTTGTTATCCTTTCTACTCGATAACGTTTTTCTCAATTTCATTCACTTCTCAGTAACCCCTTGCATCTTACTAGCTTCATCAGTTCCTTGGGGTGGAATGATTACAAAATAATTTCTGTAAGCACTTTCAGCTGGAGTTTATATTCCCGATCACCTCAATCTTAACCTGTTTCAAGTCTACGGTTAATCGTTATCTTACCCACATACCACCATAAACTGTGTCTCTTTCTCTGTAACGCTTTACATCATGTGGGCTTTGTACAAGATTAACATTATTGTAAAACAAATATTACTAATGTAAATTCTTTTTTTCCCCAACAGACTGCTCCAAGGTTAAGCCACACATCAGTATTCTTTATGAGCTACTTTAATGAACCTGGGTACTTTTTGTTTCGGGAATATCTTCCATCAGCAGCCATTAACTTTGAGAACAAGATGGTAACATTTGATGGCATGGTTTATAGCCTACCTGAAGGTACGTATACTTTACTTATCATTTAAGACTCAATAATAGGATATTGTGAACAGTTTTTTTTTAGTAGCGGACTGCGCAGGGTTGTCAAATTACACACTCAGACCAATATTATATAAAAGGAGTGACATAAATTAAAAGCATAAAGCAATGATTTTAATGGCTTATGAGGGAAATAAAAAATAAAATCATTTAATACAAGCTAAGAAAAATAAATTCTGTAAAAGTGAAATCATTTGAAAATATTTATTTAATATAAACAACAGAGAAATAAATACGCCAGTTTTGTACAAACTTCTAACAACACTAGTTTCCTAGTTATATTTGGGTTAATTTCATCAAGAGAATCTGAGAAAAGAATGCATAATTACTTATAAGGTTACAACCAAGAACCGTAACAAGGCAGTAAAAATAGATTTTTTTATACGAAATTTGAAAATGAACTAAATACGGGACATTTGGGGTGTCTCCGAATGGTCAGTACGGGACAGGAAACTAAATTATCCAATACAGGACATGTCCAGTATATAAGGGACGTCTGGTAATCCTAGGACTGGGTCTAAGATTATTGGTTGCCAGAAGACAAAGGTGGCCCACCTACAACTACAATGCTATCACTTAATTTCCATAACGAATAAAAATTTTCAAAAATTACATATGCTAAAAAGTGTACAAGTAAATTTTTTATTGAAAAAATGTGTATTTCTTAGTAATTACAATGTACATGCATCTTACATATAGATACCAAATGTAAATACCGAATGTTATAATTTGATTTTTTTTTTATTTATTTTCTTCTTATTTAAGTAATTGGTTGATATTTTAAAATAGTTCACTGCACAATTTACACATTAAAAGATAGTTCAAAAGCACAATAGAGCATTGCATGCAGTCCACTATTTTAAGCGAAGTCGTTTGTGTTTACTAAATGATTGTTCGAATCTGCTAATAATTGCTTCTGCTTTCGATTCATTCAATGGATAGCAATATGTATAATTCCAAATTCTCTTCAGACAGCGATTTTATTAACCTTGTCATTATAAACTTTAGCCTTGAAAAATGTCCTCTGATGTTGGACGAGAGTAACTGATAGTGTGCAGATAACTTTATAAAGTTTTTATTCCTTTTTATTACTAAAACAGTTCATTGTGTTTGTTTCTTTACTGCTTTTTTTCATTTCACATACAGGGGATGCTCCATCAGGGTTCCACTTGTCATTGCACAAGCTGACACTCTGGCCAATCCCCTACTGAGTTCATTTACTATTAGAATCACAATAGAATGTCCACCGATCAGGTATATATGGCATCAAAATGTTTTAACAAAACGATACCTATACACGATACGATACGAGACAGGATGGAATTTCATAGTTTTATTTCAATAAAATAATAAAAAGTCTAGCTTTTGAAAAGATATGCTCAGTGTCGGAATCAAAATATCAACGTTCGCAAACAAAGGAAAGTACTACTTACTGATAAGCTGGAAAATAGTGATTTTTCGGTTAATTTGCAGTGTAACACCCGCACTCAGTTCGCATTAGAAATTTCCAAAATAATTACATTTACGTGTAATTGTACATGCTCCATTCGAATCTGGCTCGATAAATTTGATAAAATCTACTGTTTTGGAGTTAGCGACAGTGAAAGCTCGGATTCATTCAGGTTGTTGTCGGCAGCCATTACTCGTGTTGTTTGCATACATTCGCTGCAGAAAGCTAAACACGGAAGACTACAGAAAGCTAAACTCAGAACTGATCTTTCTTGTCTAAATTTATCTCAATTACTGCGCACGGAAACTATTTACGTAGACACGCTCAGTTTGCGCAATGATACCTAGACTGATAGCTATTCTCTTAGTTTGTTAGAATAGATAACTCAAGAATACAATTCATCAAAAATGTGTTGTGTTATAGAATGGTTCGAAATCAACAGAGTCCTGGTTGATTGAGCTTGGCTAAGTCACAGAGAGAAATGTAAGTTTATGTTACGAAATTCTGTGTCTGTGTGTGCGTTTGAAATGTTATGAGCAAGATCGTGGACTTGTGTGTACAGGCGAATTTTACAGGATCTTACTGACGACTTGTGAAAAAGTCGCCTCTTTTAAGGTAAAAGGGTATGCCCCCAAGGCAACGCGGGGAAACTTAATCTTGCACTAAAATATGTGATTGATTAAAAATTAACCAATCACTACATTCGTACTAACAGAACAAGCAAGCAAGCTCAAAACCGAAGGATTCAAAGAAACGACTGCGAGGGCTAAATTGTCCTATATAAAAGTAGTAGTGATTTATTAGCCAATCGCAGGCGAATAAAATGTGGGCGTGTAAAAACATAGCAATCGCTATCACTATATCCGTTTCTACATTTATTTCAACTAAATTTCAGGAAAATTCTGACCCTGGATATTTTTTCTCTGTTCTTGGTAGAACAAAATGAACAAGAAATTAACAAATGTTGAATAAAAAAGTTGTTCCGGAACAGTTTAATTGGGGTGGGGGGTGTCGGGTATGCAAGAAAGAATATTCCCAGTTTGCATTGCCCCTTTATAAGCATTCGTATATCCGCGATATAGTAACACCTTAATAGACGGACGGGACAGAATAGCTGAAAGAAAGGAATGTCAGATATGCATTATACCGATATATACATACTTATCACAAATTTGTCTCACACAGAGAAACTATAACATATGTATGCAAAGGCAGCGTGAATGGGGCGAAAACAAAGAGGGTCATACTTGTAATATTTCAGAACGGGAAAACAGGCAGTCTTGCCTCAAGGCGGAATAAACAGCAACTGATTTTCGTCACTCTACGAAGTCTCATCACTCACCGGCCGACACGTGACCATTGTGACTTCGTTTCAGCCAAAGGGAGATAATCACACTTTATATCTCTACAAATTCTTATCTGTAATGTTTTCAGTTATTGAAACTTTGAGCCAGTGTCTATTTATCTACATATTTTAAGATATTTGTCTATTTATTATTTAAACAACTCTTCAATAATCTAATTAATAAGTCATAGTTATTTACAAACTAAATTGTCAACGAAAAGCGTAAAATTTCGTCAAAGTTTACTTAAAAAAAAAAGTGAAAAATTTGGTAAATTTAATGTATGTCATAATACCAAACCAAAAAGTTATAGAAATCTAAACAAAGCGTTCGGATGTAGTACTGACTTTTGCCACTACATGAGTCGTACCTTTTGTTATATGGCTGTATGTCCACGAGAATTACCGCGAAGGAAACGATGAAATCTAGTTGTTACGATAAGAATTATTTTATTTCGTCTTCAACTTCCCTGAGCTTTTGGGTACCAACCTTGTATATATGCGGGTCGATGGTTGTAATTTGTGGATCAGCGCGAAAACATGAGTATCTTGGCAAGAAAAACAAATAAATAGTTTATTCAGCTGTCAAACCGGTTCTATCAAGGGAGATTTCCTTTGATTTCTGTTGTATACACATTTCTTTCCAGGTCCTAATCAGAGATCTAAGGTTAGAAATGGCTTTATGACTATTTTCCACTGATCATTTTTGTAAAGAAAAATAAACTAAGATCACATACATTTTACATAGATAAAGCTCTTCGTAATGTGTGAGCTGTACTTGTGAGTACAATTTGTTGTATTTCTTTAAGGCATCGGCTACCAGGAATCCCATCAATGAGTCTATCGGAAACTTTTCTAATCGACCTGAGAGCTCCAATTGTAAGTGGAATTACTGATGTCCTTATGTGCCACATTTTATAGATTTCCACTTAATGGCCCTTCTATTTTGATAGTTTTTTTTTTTTGAAGATCTTCAAAGACACATTACAATCTGCAAGGACAGCCATGTCAATAAGAAAACAGATTCTATTTTTGTGATCATTGATCACAATGTCTGGGCGATTAGCTGTGATTTTTTTTTGTTTTTGTTTTTGTGTATTGTCCCATAAAATTGTTACGGGTCCTATCTCTGTAACTGTGTGAGGTTCATACCAGGTTTTTGCAGTTTCTTTCCCGTCAAAATCGGATATACCGAATTTTATATAGGTAAGGGGTTTGTCTATATCGTTTTTGCATTTGCTTTTTCTTTCTTTTTTTACGTTCTTTGCCGCTGCAGTATGTGTATTATGGTTTATTTGCACTTCTTCACCCATTTGAAATACCCTTTTGAATTATTATTATTATTATTATTATTATTATTATTATTATTATTATCATCATCATCATTATCATTATTATTATTATTATTATTATCATCATCATCATCATCATCATCATCATCATTATCATCATTATCATTATTATTATTATTATTATTATTATTATTATTTCTGCTATGGACACACTACCTACCAAGTCTGCGGAAAGACCTAAGGCAGGTCGTGGTGTGTTGTTATGGCCACATTTCATGTTAATTTTTTTTTTTTTTTTTTATCTCCGATGAAGTTGCTAGCGTTACATAGACAAAGTTCTCCTTAGTGTGTGTGCTGTACTTAATAAGACAATTTTCTGTATGTCTCTTAAGCTGGGGTTTCAGGGATTCTTTCAATGTGTTGTTTTGTTCCATTTTTTATAATTCCAAGTGCACCTATTACCACTGGTATTATTCTTGTTTTCAATTTCCACATTTTTTCTATTTCAATTTCCAGGTCTTTGTATTTTGATAGTTTTTCAAATTCCTTGGTTGCTATGTTACAATCCGCTGGACAAGCCATATCAATTAGTAGGCAAGTTTTTTTCTTTCTGGTTTTGACAATAATGTCCGGCCTATTTGCTTCAATTTTTCTGTCTGTGTGGATGGTATAATCCCATAGAATGGTGACATCTTCTATTTCTGTAACCGGCGCTGGCCGATGTTCATACCAGTGTTTGCTTACACATTTTCCAAAGTGTTTGCACATTGTCCAGTGTAAGTATTGCCCCACTCTATCGTGACGATTTTTATATTCATTTGGGGCAAGTATAGAACATCCTGAGATTAGATGGTCTATTGTTTCTTGGTATTTGTCACAGAACCTGCATTTTGGATCCACATTATTATGTATGATATTTGCCTGAAAATTCCTAGTGAAAAAGACTCTGGTCTTGCGCTGCAAGAATAAAGCCTTCAGTTTCAGACTTTAATCCAGATGCTCGTAACCATCGATGAGTATTAACTTTATCAACATTGGGTTTATTTGCACGTTCTGGATATTGGCCATGCAGAGGTTTGTCTTGCCAGCGTTGTTTCATCTGTTCAAGGGCTTTATCCTTGGCTTTTTTTTTCATATCTTTTGCTGCAATAGTTGGTTCTTGGCTTCTGTTTTGATTTACTACAGAATCTACTAAATGTAAATGTTGTTTGTATTTTGCCTTCTTTTATTATTGAATATTTTTTCTTTCTGTTTTCATGTTGTTTCACTAATTTTATCATCCAGTCATTTGTTGTTTCCATGTAAGTTAGTAAGCCAATAGTTGTTGTCTTGTATGACAATTCTAGCTGAATAAGACCTCTTCCACCTTCTTTTACGGGGTATGTATAGACGGTCTACATCAGCCTTTGGATGATGCATCTTATACTTAGAAAGAAGCTTTCTTGTTTTAGAATCCATTTGTCTGATGTCATTTAGAGTCCAGTTCAAGATGTTGAAACTATATTGGACCACTGGGATGGCAAGGTTATTAATGGCCATAATTCTGTTCTGAGAATTCAATTCAGTTTTTAATACCAGTCGTACCCTTCTATAGTACTCTTTACGCACTATTTTCTTTCATTTTCTTATGGTGAATTCCTTCACTCTCATTTACACCTAGGTACTTATAAGCTTCTCCTTGTTCTAAATCTTTTATTGTTACAGCAGGGTCTAAACTAATAGAGGAAGTTTGTTGTAGCGATCCTCGTAAAACTGTAGCTTTAGCACATTTATCCAAATTGAATTCATTCCAATGTCTTCACTGAAGCATTTTACAGTTTGCAGAAGACCTTCCAGCTCATTGTCATTCCTAGCATACAATTTTAAGTCATCCATGTAAAATAGATGGTTTATTTTTTTTGAGCTATTTTGTAACCGCATTCTGTCTTGTTAAGTTGGCTGGTTAATGCTATAAGTGATATGCAAAATAATAAAGGAGACAAAGAGTCACCTTGAAATATTCCTCTATTGATGTTTATTTCGCCAGACTTATAGGTTCCATTTTATGATTGAGGTAAAGTGTAGTTTTCCATATCGACATACATTGTTTGATGAAATTGATGATAACGGGTGATACCTTGTACATACTTAAAGACTTTAAGATCCAGGAATGTGGTACACTATCGAATGCTTTACTATAATCTATCCAGGCAATACTAAGATTTTTTTTTCCACGGAAGCAGTTTTCAGGATCATCCTATTAATAAGTAATTGGTCTTTACATCCGTAGCAGCCTCGTTTGCACCCTTTTTGTTCAAGTGGTAGTATGTCATTTCTTTCCAAGAAGAAATATGTCTGTTTTGTTAAAATAGATGTTAACAGTTTGTATGTTGTTGGAAGACATGTAATTGGTCTATAGTTTTTCGGAATATTTGTGTCACTATTTTTGGGTAGAAGAAAGGTAACTCCTTTGGTCATCCATGCAGGAATTTTAGTTGGATCGGTAACCATTTCTTGAAGTTCTTTGGCGAGTTTTTTGTGTGCTGTATTTAAATAATATAGCCAGAAGTTAGGAATTTTATCTATTCCTGGAGATTTCCAGTTGTGTGCTTTTTTTCAGTGCACATTTAACATCTTCTTCTGTGATTCCCGCCCATGTCTGTTCTGGTTTATTTTTCATTCGTTCTAACTCTTGCGCAATCCAATCTGCCTCTTCGTTGTGTTCTTTAGGGCAAGCCCATATTTTTCCCCCAGAACTGTATAACTTCTTCCATTTTAGGGGGACTGTCACTTCAATTCTTTGTTTACCTATTTCCTGTAAAATTTCTTTGCATCGGTTTGAAAGATCTTGTTCTGTCTATAGAATCTTGATCTTTTCTCGTAGCGTCTTATTCTTTGAGCCTTCAGTTGTATTGTTTGCTTTATTTTTTTCTTTTAGTTGATAGGACTTCATTTTCATTCCTGATATTGTATTTTCTTTCGACTCTTCTGCCTTTTCTAGTTCTTACATTTACTCCTCTTGCTAGTTCATTACTGATAATTCACTTCTAAGGTGTTCAATTTCTTTTTCTATTTTTTTTTTCCAAGGTGGATCTTCATGTCTGTGAGACTGCCTTTTTTTACTTTGATGTTCAGTTTATTTGTTGCTGCTATTGCTGATGCATATATTCTTCATTGAGATTTATATGAGTGTCTTCTTCATCCAGAATCAATTTGAGTGCTGCATTATAGAGCTTAATAGTTTTGAGGTTATGCTTTGTTGGTTGTAATTTTGGGAGTTGTTATTATTATTATTATTATTATTATTATTATTATTATTATTATTATTTCCTTTGACATACTTTGTATACACATTTCCTTCTAAGTCCCAACCAGAGACCTAAGGTCAGAAATGGCATCATAACATTTTGCAGTGAACATTTTAAAAAATAAAAATAAAACAAAGATCACACATAACTTACATAGTTGAAGCCGTTCGCACGGTGTGAACTTTACTTGTGAGACAAATTTTGTGTATTTCTTTAAGGCAATGAGTCTGTCAGAATTTTTCAATCAAACCCAAGACTCCAACCCAAATTGGAATTACTGACGTCTTTATGTGCCACATTTTTTTAAAATTCAACTTCAAGATCCTTGTATTTTAATAGTTTTTAAAATCTTTAAAGATACATAACAGTCTGCATGAAAAATATATTTTGTTTTTGTGGTATTATTATTATTATTATTATTCAGCATTCAATATTACTATTGTTTATGTAGTTGTTGTTGCTCTTTCGTTGTTTTAGTGTCGTATATTACTATTATTATTGTTTGCAGACTTTGATAATGAAAAATGCATCCACCTTTTGTCTGCTGACCTGATGAAGAAGAAATTTTCAGTGTTGCGTGAAGGAGACGCTATCACTTTGGTTTGTTCCAAGACTAGAGTAAAAGTTTCCAGAGACTGTAAAATCTACATCGACGGATCTGACATGGCAACGTAAATTATTTCACTGTTTTTCTATCAGTTCCATTCCAGCAATTAAGCACTACAGATACAATAAAATATGATTAGCGGCATTGTAGCTGTCTTAAACCTAAGTTAATAGGACAGACTTCCTTGATATTTTTCTAGAAATGCCTTCGTAAAGAAAGAAAATCGATCATCGTCAAGATCCACCCCATATCTGTAGTTCTCCCTACATTGTCTAAAATTATCTGTGATCTGTTGCCTTCCACTTGTTATTCATTTCATATTAATTGAGGGCTTGGAAAGAGAGAGGGAATAGGCTAGTGTTCTTCATGGTCCACTATAGACATTTGTATAACTGTGATATATATATATATATATATATATATATATATATATATATATATATCTATATATATTTGGGGTGCAAACATTCAAATATAAATAAAAAGTTAGTATTCTTCTCATAAGCATGGCTGATGCTAACCTCCAAGAGTTGTGCATTCTCGGGCTAATGTTCTCTGCTGATATGAATTTAAAAAATTATATTGAATCAATTGCTAGGTGTGCTGCTAGAAAAGTTAGTTCTCATGCTATAGAGATTCTGGATAAAATCCAAAGAAGAATCTGCAATGTTATTGGTCCTGGCCTGACATCCCGGCTTCACAAACTTTCCCACCGCAGTATCGTTGCTTTTTCTATAAATACTTTCATGGTAACTGTTTTGAGGATCTTTGCTCTATGGTACCTAGATTCTATGAATTTAAACATAGTACTAGATTGGCAAAAATGTCTCAACATTCTGCAGTTAAAATGGCTAGATGTAACCGTAAGTTCTTTGCCAACAGTTTCTTTTCTCGCTTCCGGCTTCTTGCTTTTCAGTCAACTTTGATCTTCAAAAATGTAAATGAAATGTTAATCGTTATCTACCGTCTTTTTAAATCCTGTTCTTTTATTGTCCTCTCTCTGTTTTTCTTTTCCTTATTCTTTCACACTCAGTATCCCCTTGCGTCTTAATGGCTTTAATGACTTGCTTGGGGTGAAATTATTAAAAAGAAAATATGAATATGAATAAAAGGACAACTTTTCTTTACCAACGCGTTTCGTCTCCTGTGAGATTTTATCAGGTAAATGTAAGCATTTTATTTTGCAACATGTATTTGTAAACCGGAGTAAAATGGAAGAAAAATACCGATAAGTTTTCAAAATTTTTAAATCGCTCTAAAATATTCTTGAAGCTAACTGCTCAAGTTAGTTTACCATTACTTACAACAGGCTATCGTCCCTGCCTCTGTCGTAAGCTAAGCAACAATTGACTATTCTCAGAGATTGTCCAGTATTCACTGCCTTATAGGCGATTACATAGCAGTTCAATGCTCTTTTCTTTGTGTCTAACTAAATCTACCTCTCTTAATACTTCGCATAAGATATGAATACCGCTTCCAAATTCAGCACACTTGATTTTACAAGTACTTCATCGTTGTTTAAGATTATCAAAAAAAAAGAGCTATAAATATATTATCAAAAGAAGTACTATTTAGAGTTGTAAATCCCAAATTAAACCACAACAAATGAATTCAGTGTTGTGTTGAAAAAGTATCGATTTGACCAAGACGCCATCTAAAAATCTACTTTTTGGACATATGATTAGATTTTGGGAAGTAGGTCGGACTTTTCAGCAACCTTCGTATAAAAATTGTAGTTGTATTATAAACGTTCAAAATACTGATAATCTATTACTATATATATATTGTCCACAGACAGACTGTCTCGCTGTATCTAGATATACATGTCCGATTACTTTAAGCCGGGATCGAAACCCGGCCGATTCATTCTTGCACTATATAGGGATTCTAAAGAATGTTGTGTATCACAGAAAACCGACTACATTGCCAGCCCTTAGATAAGAAATTGAAAATGCACGTGCAGAAATCCTACTGGAGACTTTGGCCAACATTGGCCAAACAGTAGTTCACTGTACTAATAAATGTCTGGAAACTTAATAAAAAAAAAACACCATTTTGAGAATCACTTGTGATCGTAGAGTTCAAAAATAACTTGTATTAATCTCGTGATGTATGAATAAATTTAGTATTACAATATCTATACATGTTTTTATACATTTTGACACATGTTTTTCCTTTTCTGAAGTGTGTATACATTTTTTGGCGGACTCTGTATATAATCATTTCGTGCCAGGCAAGGCAATAACGTCACGAGGACGCAAGGAGTTACAGAGAGTGAAAGAGAATGAGAAGATTATAATGAGGAGAACTGGGGAAAGAACAATAAAAAAACAGGATTCAGGAAGACCGAAAATGGCGATTGACGGTGCATTTAAATTTTTGACGATTTTAGGAGGTAGAGAAGCAAAAAATCGGAAGTGAGTTCCACAAGTTAGAAGTATGAGAAAAATATTAGAATAGAACATACGGTTGCATCTAGGGAGTTCAACAATAAAACGGTGAGACCTAGTTGCCAATCTAGTAACACGCTTCAATTCATGCAGTCGGGGCATTAAATGAGGTATAAAGTTGCCATTTTCACACATAAACGTTACCGACAGCCTGAAGATTGTGTGAAAGCGTATAAAACTGTCAGTTGTTGTCGGTCAATGCTCACTGGAAATTTAATTTAAAATATATTAAGACTGCAATTTAATATGGAATCGAACACTTTTTCAAATGTGCCTCTATAGCAGTAGCTGCTTATTCATATACAGACACACACATACATACATATATATATATATATATATATATATATATATATATATATATATATGGTTCGCATCTTTGTTGTCTTTAGTCCTATTTTGAATAAATCACTATTTTGTGCAGTATGCAACCAATGGATATTTTAAAAATATATGCGGGCTGCATAAAATTATGGGGCAGGCCTAAAGGGGCTTTGTCCATCTCTGATTTAGTTTACTGTAAGTTATTGTTAATGTTTTAAATTGTTTATTTCCTAAAAGAAAATATTTTAATAACTATCAGTTTTGAAGTTATCCAAACAAGATTGAAACAAAGGATATCAGTTCAATGAGAAAACTTACGGCTTAGAAATGTTTAAGGATCCATTCGCAAAACTATGTACAAATGCTGGTCAAGTGTTGTCTTCAATTCAGATAAATTGTCCCTTGTTTATTTCAGGGAACTTCCATACGAATGTCCAATGAAAATGGTTACAGCTAAGATGTGGGGACCCTATTTGATTGTGAATTCAATATTTGGTGTTGAAATCACTTGTGATCCTGAAAACTTAAAGGTCATTCTGGATGGGCAGCATCTCAACAACACCATAGGACTTCTCGGCACGTCTGATGGCGATTTGGGAACAGATATGAGACTCTCAGATGGTACATTTGCTGCAAACAAAGCAGAGTTTATCAATCATTTCGAGTTGAGCCGTAAGAAGATTTGCCAAGTGACAGCAGAGCAACTTAGACCTAAAAGTCAAACGAGTAAATGTTCAGACGAGATCAGAAAACGATGTATGGAGACATTTGCTTCATATAAATCACCGTTCCTTAAGTGTTTCCTGACAGTCAACCCCAAATATTTTCTGGTTTGTAAAGCGTTTTTTGTTTTCATGTATATCGATGGCTTTCTTTCTTTTTTTTAATATCTTGTTATTTCAGGCCATTGGTGGTCACGTCTTTACACAGATTAATTTTTCTATCATCTGTGAGTTGTCATGACATCTTAAGAAAGATAGTGAAGTGTTTTTCCATTGCATTCTTCACGGTTTTGAATTCAGCATACGCCACCTTCGAGACTGGCTGCCACCCATGACTAAAGAAACATGACAACTTTGCTATTTAACCCATAGCTGAAAGGGAAAGAAAGAGATATATCAGTTCTCAAGGCATAAACCTCCCAGTTAAAACCCGCCTGTCGCGTACATTGAAGCGATTTACTTTCATTCTCTTCGTATTCCATCAATAAGGAGTAAGTTCCACTAGACTAGATTCTTCTCGAGAACTGTTACTTTGCGGAACAGGATCCCAGGAGGATGCTTTCTCGACCACTACAATTTTAACGTATTCAAGTCTAGGGTTAACCGCTATATTTTCCACATAAATTACGCCCCATACTCATACAACAACATCCTTCAATAACCCTCTACTTTGAGTGGCTCTTGTATAGGATGAATATTAAAACAGGAAGTATATTTCAAAAGTGAACATAGGATACCTGGCCAGAATTAGAACTCACCTCGCCGAATCATGTTGGCAGAATTTCATTATTTTCTTTTGGTTCAGAATTTTATTAATGTTCAAGTGATCTTGAATATTTTTATAAAGATGGCTTATACAAAGACAAGAAACTTAAAGAGAAACAAAAAGTCACGTAAGATTTGATGACAAGAAAATTCTTTTGAAATCTTTCTATTGGATTGAAACGAAAGTCTATAGAATCTATGAAAAGTTTGAACAATATATATATATATATATATATATATATATATATCAAAACAATTTTAGCAAAATCTATAACAAAGGGGAAAATCTTTTTCGTGTGATGCGTTTCGTCCTTTATGACTTCATCGGACTAAAATGATGTGATTACACTTTCACATGAAGGAGAGAAGACGCTGTTTTTTAATATCTGTTTTAGATATATGATAAAATTTTACATTCTCCTTCATACACATGTCTGCATCAACGTAAACAACAATTTAGTCCAATGTAGTCCTAAAAACAATAACGTCCACTTTTTACACTTTGTATATATATATATATATATATATATATATATATATATATATGAAATTGGAGATGGTTAGTTAATATATTGACCACATCTTTGTTGATATTATCACGTTTCAGCTGTTGTGCTCTTCGGCCTTCAAATGGTGCTTCAGAGAAACCTTCAGGCAATTTCGAACTGATTCCTGAACCTATGGAATGTCTCGCCTCGTTCTTTAGTACTACTCAACTATTGCTCGCCTCATTTCCACTTCACGGCCCAGGGGTTGAACTCACAATGGATATATTATCAAATTCACGAACCAACGCTTCAATCCACAAGGTTATTGTCCCGTGGGACAATCCCGAGTGGATAACATGGATTCTTAAACCTAATCTACCTGTCGATGAGATAGCTGATACTGCGTGTCATGCTTGACTACCCTCATTGAGATTTCTACTGTGGCTGCTACTGCTGTTAAATCTTTACTGTTATTTCTCTTTATTAACGGGCGCGGGCAATGACCAAGCAGTACCAAATAAGAACTAGAAGAGATATCCCTAGAGATGGTCAGTGGAACGAGAACAATTTGCCTTAGTATATTAAAGTGCTCAGTTCGAAATTCCATGATCGTTATCTGGACCAACAAGCACCCGGTGAAATCCGCAGGATACAAAGGCCGAAATGCTGTCATAGTCATAGTAAAAATAGGACAATAGTCCGTATGTAAATGACGTAAATAAATGATATTTGCTGTTTCCTTTATAGATGCAGTGCTTAGAAGATGTTACAAGCTGTAAAAAAGACGCCATGAACACAGAATTATGCCGAGTGATGCACCTCTACGCCCTCCATTGTGTCACAAAAATGCCAATACATATGCCTAAACAGTGCGGTGAGTATCTGAGATGTGTAGTAATAATTCGTTGATATTCTGATTGTTCTAATGATTTTTCAAATGTTAAACATTTTAGCCATATTTTCAAGCTTTCAATTTTCTGTTGTTCATCTGTATCAAGATTTCCCAACCTGGGAAATTTATAAAGCAGAAGTAAAAGATACAAATGGCCAGACCAAAATATACATAGGATGTATGAAGGCAGCTTCAAAACCAGATGGTATAATCACAAGTCATTATTCAAGGTAGAAAGACTTAGGAATTCTACCAGACTAGCCAGCCATGTCTGGAAATTAAAAGAAAAATATAACAAAGATCCGATTGTAAACTGGGAAATATTTTAATAAAGCCAAAACTTATAATAATCATAATGATATCTGCAATCTTTGCCAGGAAGAAAAGTTAACAATAATAACATTTCCAGGCCAGAAAAACCTTCTGAATGAGGGATCAGAAATAATAACACGATGCATACACACAAAAAAGTTCCTTTTGAGTTCGTATGAACCAGGATGAAAGTATTTTATATACCCCCCTACGATACAATTTCAATATCCTTGCTTTCCACCACTTCTATTACGCTTTGCTTTGTGTATTTATTTATTTTTAAATAGTAAAACGTTAGAAAATTATTTAGCCCATATGGCCTCTAGATATCGAAAGGTTGAAACCAAGGTAGCGTGATTGGTTAATCTCCTAATTATATATATATATATATATATATATATATATATATATATATATATATATATATATATAGCCAAATACAGGATAAAATTCCGATAACCAAAAACATTACTCTTAAAAGAGTGCTCAATACTGAGTAGAGCAAATAATATTTATTCAAAATTATAACATAAATATCTTATAACATCACTAAAATTGCAACATTGCAATTGTTTTCAATTTTGTAGTGATGTTATCATATGCATGTTATAATTTTGAATATATATATATATATATATATATATATATATATATATATATATATCTTTCCTCATTATGCGCCCTAGAAATTTCAACTCTTTCTGATGGTAAGTATAAGTTTCCATTTTCTCTAAAACTTTGCCTTTTCTCACATGTTCAGTCCATGTTATTCCCACCATTCTTCTGTAGAATCAAATTTCTGTTGCCTCTATTCTCTTTTTCATTTGTGAGGAGATTGTCCAACATTCCCAACCATATAGCAGGACTGATATTACTTCCAGTACCTTATTTCTAACAAAATTTTCATATTTCTTAATACTTTGCTTAGTTTTTGGAACTCTCTCAACATACCTTCAGATTTCAGTATTGCATTTTTACATTCTGTGTTAAAACACTTCCTAGATATTTAAATGTTTGTACTTGTTGGATTTTGGTATCTCCAATTTCTAATTAGTATGTTGGGCTATTTGTTTTGCTGACAACTATACATTCTCACTTCTTACAAGTGATGTTTAATCCTTTCTTCTCACTTTCTATTTTTTTTAACCTTCTGTAGGATTTCTTCTAGTTTCCTTTCTATATCTACTATCAACACTGTGTCATCTGCATATCTAATGTTGCTAAGACTGTGGCCACGAATAATGAATATTGTTTGAATAGATCTGGTGAGAGATACATCCTTGTCTTATGCTCCTTTCTATTTTTATATATTTACTAAATTCTCTCCGTATGCAGGTGGTTTGATCCCAATATAAGTTCTGGATTACCTAATATCATTTCCAAATAAATCAAGCTTTGTTACAAGAGGAATATAATTTTAGTTTTCAAAGCATAAAACTTTTTTTTTCAAATTTTCTACATAGCAAATAGGTAAAGTTTAACATACATACACATAAAAAAAAAACGCTTATGTGAGCTTATATCCTTTTGACCAGACTCCGAGACTCTTGCGTGAACAATGGTTTCAGATAAAAAGTCTCCTTGTGTTCATTTTTTTGATTAACCAAAATTATTTTATTTCCCGGCGTTCCTTTCTTTTTCATTTTTATTTTATTTATATAACGGAAGTTATGCGTGGTGGCTGTCTTATTTTGGGTAGATTTATAAATAAGTAGGCTCTGATCCCGGAAACTTTCAGCGTTTGTTTGACATGTTCAGACTTTTCTGCTTCTTCCTCTTTTTAATCTGGGAGTTGCCTTCTTGTTAGTTGATAGATAAATGTATAGGGAGAAGTTGAGAGAGAGAAAGAGAAAGAGAGAGAAAGAGAGAGAAAGAGGGAAGATAGCGGTTTTAAAAAAAAGCAATTACCTTATTTTAATTTTAATTCTTTCTATTTTCGTTTATATATGTTATTAAGTTATTTTCATATTTTAATTTACTCCATTTTTATCAGGACTTAGTTACTCGTAATTATGTGTTTATTCATATTTTCATGTTTACAAACATTTTTAGAAATTTATTTTTAAAAAATGTTTTCCTAGTTATTTCTATGGTAATTAATAAATATTGCATTGTAGTTAGTTCATATATTTTTATAAACTTGTAAATACAAAATTATTCCAAAGCCCGCTGAAGAAGGCCGGAGCGTACAACAGCTGAAACGTTGTGAATATAACAATAAAAATAAGGACAACAGTAAAAGTGTCAAAAATTGTTCTTGTAAACAAACAATCTAATAAAATAATGGTTACTACTTTCGTTAGAAATTCTTGAGAAAAAAAGAATGCATATATCCATTTTGATATGTCTGGGGGGTATTAAAATTTGAAAAATAGCTCTTTATACAAAAAAATCTTAAAGGCGTGTACATAGAGTAATAATGATTTCAAGAGAAAAATGGTCCTTTCAAGAGATCAATTTTTTGTGTGGTACGTATGTTAAATTTTGCTATTAAATAATAATGTTTTAATGTTTCCATTCTTTCAAAAATTGATGCTTATTTTTCTATATTTAATTCTTCCTACAGTGTTGTGTGATGAGTCCAAAGGTGAAAAATGGAAAGTCACCACGAATAAACAAAAACGAGACATTGTCATTATTGTGGATCAAAACCAAGAGATCAATGGATACAGGCCATTGCATTACTTTATGAACCTCTTTGAAAATGCGAAAATTGAAAATGCGCAAATGGGTTTGGTGGCTTGTGGAGGAGAAGGTATATTTGAACATCCAAACGTTTATACTATGGAAGGACGGTAAGTGTCAACAGATTTAAATTGTCCAAATTTCTGAGATGATACATTTTTACTATCAATTTTGACTACATTTTTTTCATCGTTTTGCTTATTAAATTCTGTTTTTTCTTTCATGCGAGCGGTGTAATGGATATCAGCTCAGAATGAAAAATTGGAGAGCCGAGTTCAAATTCTAGTTGATTTCATTACATTCACTTACACACAAATATCCTTGGGAAATATATGATTCCATCTCTTCTGTCACCAGCTATGGATTAAATAATAGAACAACCTGGACTCTTCGGTCTTGGTTGGTAAACAATCTAGGGCAACTCTGAATTCAAAATCTCCAATTATGGTTAAATAGTAAAGCACACTGGGCCCTGCAGCCTTGATTGACAACCAGTCTAGAAGAAGGACAGCTCTGAATTCAAAACCCTGTGTAGCCCTGGCAAAACATATACAATGCAGCCAAGGAAAGGATTAATGACTCTATGATCTCAACAGTGGTCGGCTTCCATCTTTTTTTAAGGCTTTCATATTTAATAACCATTAAATAAGCAATATGCATGAGAAGCAAAAAAGCCACCACAAAGTGAGTGTTACAATAACAAATCAACCGTCAGGAAGAAAAGAAAAACTATCCAAAATTGATAATGAAAATGTGTCATCTATAGTGGGTCAGCCAATTTGTATTGGTTATAAATAAAAATAAAAACTGACCCTCTACAATTTTTACAATATCAAATGTAACAAAGACAACAACAAGAGAAATAATCAAGTAGAAGGTAAAGAAAGCAAACAAAACAAGACCGATAATATATGTATATACAAATATATATTAATAACAAGTTACAATACATGGAAACAGTACAAAGGACGAAGTGTGTGTGAATATTCTGTATGTGTGTGCGTGTGTGTATTATGCTTAGCGTGTTTCCACGCTATCCCTTGTTAGCGACTACATTTCGAGGTTGATAGCTGAAAATCCTCTAGGAATAAGAGAGTTTACCTCAAGGTGTCAGTGCACAGGCCTGGAGAACAAAAGAGAAAGAGGCCAAGAGTCGGCGGCTATTTATAGCCAGGGAAGAGAGACCCCTGGTGAAAGGGTTAAAGGACTGAAGGAGGAGTTAACTCCGACACATCTTAGAAATTCAGTCAACTTCAAATTATGCTTTATATTTAGAAAGACATACCACATAACTCAAATTATTAATTCAATGAGCGCTTTATCCTTACACCTACATTGTTCTTAATTTTCATCAATGATCTTTCCAAGTAGTCTACCACTATTAGGCGAACCTGTTTACTGCAATGCCATGTGTACCGTGGGTGAGTGCTAGACTCCAAGATTTTGCTCTTGTACCTCAATATCACTCGCTTTTTTTAGAAATTGAGGACGGTTAAAATTTATTGTATCTATTTATGTATGTATTTATTTATCTGCTATAAAACACAGAAATAAGTTGAAATTTGGAGTAACTTGCTTTAAGCTCCGCGCTAAGTATCTAATAAAAATTTCCCAAATAGTTATATTTACATGTAAATCTACATGCTTAATTAAAAAATAACAAAGAAATTTTGATAAAATCTACCTTTTTAGAGTTATCAACAATTAAAGACACGAAAGAGTCCAAGCTTTTATGGTCGATATCTCCAAAACGGTAGATTTTATAAAAATTTCTTTATTTTCGAATTAGGCATGTAAATTTAGAAAAAAATAACTGTTCGGGAAATTTTTATTAAATACTTAGTGCAAATTCCTTATGGAATCATTGCCATAAATTAGTATAATTTTTTAGGTTCTTTTCGAGCCATTATCTACAATATATATTGCAAAATAGGGCAAATAGGGCCCAAAAATCAGGTAGGTGTTCAGCCTCCTATTACCATCGGCACACACATACACACAGCACCCGTGATTAACTTGCTGCGTGGGTTGGCCATCTTGCACCCCAAGGCCCGTGCTATAGCGATGGACTACTATATCATCCATTCTCAACTCTGTATCTATGTTGATTGCCCAACTATTTACTTTTGTCTTAGTAAATCTGATAAGTTCGATAAGGTCATATTGACAGCTGATCGAGAAAATGACCTACAATCTGTTGTTAATTGGGGCAAGAAACAGCTTGTTAATTTTAATACCAACTAAACTACTGTTTTTTAGAGAAACTTTTTTTTGCTTAACATCCTCATGACTGATGCTAACCTCCAGGAGAGTGACTTATTGCATCTTCACATGCTAACATTTTCCACTGACTTGAAGTGGAAAGATTACATTGAGTGTGGAATGTGGATTATATTAATATGAAACTCTCTTCAGGCTTTTTGCTTTTGAGCCATCTTTGATCTTCAATAATTAAAATGCAATGTCAATTGAATTTCTGTTCTTTTATTGTTCTTTCTTCTTAATAATGTTTTTCTTTTTTTCCATTTTCTCTCACACTCCTTAGAGACTTTATTGCTTTGAATGAAGTGAAATCATTTTTTTTAAATAAATAAAAATAACAGAATTTAACAAGCAAAACAACAGAATCTAATAAGCAACCCTTGTTTCCTGTTTAGGATTGGATCGCCATTCTTTCTAACTCCTACTTCAACTCTAAACATTAAACGTCTCTGCATAAACTCTGAAATTTTTACTATTTATTTATTTTTCATCCTCAGTAGGAGTAGATAGATTTGCCTATCCTCCAGTTCATATTCCATCCCAGTCTTTTGAACAAGGTGTATCCCTTGTTTCCTGTTTAGGATTGTGTTTCCAGTTCCTTTTAAATTCTACTCTATATTTCTAACATCTCCACCTAAATTATGAAATTTATACTATTCATTTATTTTTTTTTTATCTTCTTTTTCCTCAATAGGAGTAGATAGATTTGCTTATCATCCAGTTCACACTCCTCCCTGGTTTTTTGAACAGGCGTACAGTTGTATCCCTTGTTTCCTGTTTAGGATTGGGTTTGCGGTTCCTTCTAAAGTCTTTTCCTTCCCTTTCACTTCCAGCATTATCATCTTGCTTGGGATGAACTGATTAAAAAAAAAATAATCAAAATAACTGACAAAGAAAAAACAACAGGATTTGATAAGAAAAAGAATAGAATAAACAAAATAACAGGATTTAATAAGCTTTCCATGCAGACACACACAAAGCCACAAACAGACACACACAAAGCCACAAACAGACACACACAAAGCCACAAACAGACACACTTTCTGCATGATAAGATTTGATGCTACCACATAGATACAGATTTCTACCTTAAACTATTTTATTTCAAGTTGTTCTCCTGGGTACTTCTGATTATTCATGACATTAAACCAGCAACGAATTTAAGCCTGGTGAGTGGTTTGGTTTATTTTGTTTTACAGCAATGGGTTATTTAATGCTGACAAAATTTTAATTGCTGATATTTTGTTTTGTCAAAAATCTATTTCTGGTAATAATTTTTTTTCTTTCAAAAATGTGTTGCTGTAATAATTTCTTTTAAAAAACGGTAATATTTTTTTCCTCAAAAATGTATAACTGGTAATAGTTTTTTTTCTTAAAAAAATTTATTGCTGAAAATAATTTATTTTAGTATTAAAACCTGTTTTTACAGTTTCATAGTGTTTTTAACCCAGTTTCAGGGTTAACTATTTGTCCATAGCTGGGATCCTATCAGAACACCAGCAATTAAGAGGTGGTTCTACACTTCTCAGAACTTCCTGATCAGAGGCCTTGCTATTGGACGTAGTTTATCATCTTACCCAGGACACGGATGTAGTTTATCATCATACCCAGGACAGCCTGGTGAGTGGAGATCCATCCCTGAGATAATATCTCTCCCTTACACTAAACATAATAGAGTCAGGAATAGGCTTTAATATCTACAGCAATGACCAAGGAAACCAGGCTTGTTTTTCATGACCCATGGCTTTTAGTTACGTATTGTATTAAATGGCTACATACATTTCCCCTCAACAAAACCCAATCTTCTCTCATATAAGGTACAAGCAGTAACAAAATTTAATAAGCAAAATAACAGAATCGACAAACATATCTTTTCCTGCCCACAAAAAAAAAAAGAAAAACAGTGTATCCAAGACAGTTTTCCCATGACATTGGTATTATTTTAACTACCTTCACTCCCCAGCAACATTTATTGTTTTAAAAAGTGAAAATTGGAATTGTAATGAAAGCCAAACATATGATGAAAATGAATTTGTATATTTTGTTTGTTATTGAGAATTTACAACAAAAATATTAAACAATGTATATTTATTAGATTATTACAATTATATTTCTAAAAACTAATACATTTATATCAAAACTACTGCAATGCAATATTTATAATTTATCAATTCATAAAAAAAATATGAAAACAATTTTTTATTTATAAATTTATAAACATTTTCAAAATTATTAAAGTATATGAAACAACTATAAGGAAATCCTTATTATTTACCATTTTATAAAGTTTGAATCAATTGGCAATTAGCCGATGTTTTGAAAATCATTCTAATAAACAATATTTATTTACCATTTTATAAAGTTTGAATCAATTGGCAATTAGCCAATGTTTTGACAACCATTCTAATAAACAATATTTGTTTACCATTTTATAAAGTTTGAATCAATTGGCAATTAGCTGATATTTTGACAACCATTCTAATAAACAATATTTATTTGCCATTTTATAAAGTTTGAATCAATCGGCAATTATCTGATGTTTTGACAACCATTCTAATAAACAATATTTATTTACCATTTTATAAAGTTTGAATCAATTGGCAATTAGCTGATTTTTTGACAACCATTCTAATAAACAATATTTATTTACCATTTTATAAAGTTTGAATCAATTGGAAATTAGTTTTGCTAACCATTCTAATAAACAATATTTATTTACCATTTTATAAAGTTTGAATCAATTGGAAATTAGTTTTGCTAACCATTCTAATAAATAATATAATAAATATATAATGCAAATAAACAATCTAATAAATAAATAATGTTTATTATTTCTGTTGTCAATTCTAAAGAATAAAGAGAAAGTATAAATTCACTTTCATATGTTTAGATGTTATTACAATTCTAAACATCACTTTTGAAAACAATAAACATTACCTAAGAGCAAAGGTAGGTAAATAAATGTCGTATCATGGGAAAAATGTGCCCTTTTGACACTCTATTTTAGTGTAGGCCCCAAAATACCAGCTTACCACAGAATCTTATAAGCAAAATAAGAATTCTGTAAGCAAAATAAGAGAATATAAACAAACAAAAAAAGGATTTAATAAGCTTCCAACAAACAAGTTTTTTTTAAATATAATTCATTCTACAGTAAATAATTTCAAGTGTTTTGATTTATAGGCATTTTGGCACAGAAAATACTCTGACAATGGCTTTGAAGACACTTACTGAAGGCATGAAACCAAGCAAGAATGGTCATCAGGGTATGGATCATGGTGACATGCATGATCAACATGGACACAAAAGTCATGGTCATGATGATAAACATAGACATGAAGGCCACATACCTCGGTTGCATATTGACCACAGCCCTCATCATGTGGGACACAGAATCACAGATCTACATCAAGCATTAGAATGGGCATCTGATTACCCATTCAAACCAGAATCAGGACGTATGATTATGCTATTTGCTGATATGACAGTAAGATTTTAATTTCTCTTTCATTCCAAAACTGTACAGAGGGTTTAATTTATTCCAAACAAGATTCAATAGAGAAATAATAACAAGTAATATTATTATAATTTCTATATGTATTAATATTATATTATAATAATTATAAGTAACATTTTTATATCATAATTATTATAAGTACTATTATTATATTATTTTATTATTATTGTATTTTGTTATTATATTATAATTATTATAAGTATAATTATTATGAAATATTATATCATATCATTATTATACTTAATTATTATTATTATAATTATTATAAAATCTTATATTATTATATTATAATTATTATAAAATCTTATATTATTATTATAATTATTAAAAGTATTATTATTATATTATATTATTACAATATAATTTTTTATTAAATGTTCACCCAATTCATGTCCAAAAGCCATGCAACATAGAGCAGTAGTTCTGGGGGTGGTGGAAAAATACGGTGGAGGTGAGAAAATGGATTGCCATTTTGGTTACATAAAGACATTTCTAATTGCTACTGAGCCCTGTGTAACAAAATAAAGATGTTGCTTTATTGCCTTTCCAACATCATATTTAGTAGAAAAGATTTTCAATGCTGTCATTCAATTGCTTTCCAAGCAAAGGAACAGACAAAAAATCTCTGAACTTGGGGATCTCTGACTTCTTAGTACCTGAGGTTGGGATGCTGATATACATGCACCAAGCACATATTTCACATTTAAACAGATGACAAAATTACAGAAAAGATGTAAATTTTCCCTCTTATATTACTAAAGGAGCTAAAATGTTTGAAATAAATTGGTTTACTATACTTATGTTTTTTTTTTTTACACAATTTAAAAGTATACAATATGGCCTCCAGAAACAAAAACCAATGTGCATGCTGTGTGATTTTCCTCAAATATTGCAATGAAACTTCCTTTCATGTTATTTATTTGAAATACATAATTATATATGTGGACAAAGGATTAGCTTGCTCATTTTTCATTTACAGTATCCCTAATACCATGAATGAGGTGTGTCTTAATATGTGTGGGTGTTTAGGGTTGTGGCGTGGTACCCAAGTGGCCAGAATCCAAAAAAATTAGGGAACCACCGAGATAGAGAGTTACTTAGTGAAGTTGTTGTATAGACTAAATTGAAATAGTGCCTTATAAATGTAAATCTGTGTCAGACTCCAGAAACATTAATATCTGCTCAGTTTCATATCCCAACGTAAACAAAGCAACTTCTAAAGAAGTGATGGATTATTATTTTTTAATCTGGCAGATTTTATTACTTAAACATTTTTTTAATGGATACCCATATTTGAGTAGACACTCTGTTTATTTATTAAACAGTATATTTATTTATTTTTGTCTACTGGCCTAAATATTCAAGAATTCTTATTAAAGAAAGACATGCACTCTCTGGCAGGATTTGAATATGCATCCCTCATGGCAGTGGAAACCGTTGTTAGATCTGACATGCTTTAGACTGATTCAACCATGTTTATGCTAGGATAGAAAACTAAGCAGATATGAAGGTTTTGAGAGTCTGGGGGAGATTTCTATTTATAAGGCACTATTTAACATTGCTTGATTGACAACACACTCCATGGCTGAGCCGTCCTGGGTATGACAATAAACTACATCCAACAGCAAGACCTCTGATCAGGAGGTTTTGAGAAGCACGGAACCCCCTCTTAATTACTGATGTTCCCAGATCCACCCTGATCCGGGGTGGTAGCACCTGTTAACTGGGGTCAAAACACTAGGAAAGTGTAAAAATAGGTTCTAATACCAGAAATACTTTGTAAAAGAATTATTACCAGTAATACATTTAAAAAAAAAAAATTACCAGTGTAGGAAAAATATTACCAGAAATATATTTTTGAAGGAAAAAATATTAACAACAATGAAAATTTTGTCGGCATTAAATAACCCATTGAGGATGATATGCCGCAAAACAAAACAAACCAAACCAAAACCATGGCTGAGATGGTCTAAAGTGCATTGACGTAAGTTCAGATTATAAGGAAATGTAGGATAGATAATTGTTGAACCTAGATTTGAAGAGATTATAAGCCACTTATTATATGATATATTATTATATTATATTATCATATTATCTTATTATTATATTATACATCAAAAATATTTTCAAAATTTAAAATTCACAGCATCTCTCATTCATGCATATGTGTAGTTGAATCAACATAAACAAACCTAGTCATCTGATGAAGTCGTAAGGGATGAAAAACCTCACACAAAACTTTTTCCACTTTGTCATACATCTTTCCCCCATAACGTATTATATATTATTAAATTTTATTATTATTACATCATGTTATAATTATTATTATTATATAAAATAATTGTAACAAGTATTTAAGCAAATTATAATATCATGGTTACCTTTTCAAGGTGGATGAAAGATATTATTTCAAAGCCTGATTGTCAACCCATGTTGGAAGATTGGTGTGACATGATCTTCAATTTTTCACTTCATTTGACCTTCTGGTATACTAAGCTGAATGCATTAAAAATCATATATCATAAAATTTTAATGATAACAAAATGATAATAAGTCCACAAATAAACAAATAAGAAAAGTTCTTATATATATATATATATATGTGTGTGTATATATATATAAATATAAATATATATATATATAACCAGATGGGTAAATATAGGTAGATGTATGAGTGAGCGATTGTATACAATACATATAAATACTCTATAGTGTAAGAAAAACAGTGCTCAGTGTTAAATAACAGACACACATATATATATATATATATATATATATATATATATATATATATATATATTATATAATTAAAAATATGATTCCAACACTACATAAGAGTTCTCATGTTTCAAAACAAGCGTTGGAATCATAGTTTTAAATAAATAATTATATTTATGCTCTACTTTTGTATCATGCACTATTTTTTAAAAATAATAACAAAAATACTAAAGAACTTTGGATTATTTACCTTTCCAATTTTTGTATATATTTTTACACACATATATATATATTAGGTTGGTGCAAAAATAATGACGTAATAATGTCGTTTTTTAACGTTAAAAAATACGTCAAAAAACGATATTATTATGTAATTATTTTGCACCAACCTAATATATATATATATATATATATATATATATATATATATATAACAGCAGAACAATCTTGGAGCATGTTAAAATTATGAGGGGAAATTTTAATATTCCATAAAAATAGACATTTATCACATACTAGCAGTGGAGCCCGGCGTTGCCCGGGGATGTAACAGTGAGAGATAGATCAAGTATCGACCATCATAAAGACTGAAAAATAAAATTGACAAAGATTATTGTTTAAGGTTGACGGACACGCATGTCTTAATTAGTTTTATTTTATTTTTTTTATTTTTTTTTACGAATTGGTCAAACCCAAATTCAAACAAAAACATTGTTTTCAATCGTTATGAGTCTACCGATTGAATAGAATTTTATTACAGTGAGACCCGGATATAAGAGAAACCCGGATATAAGAGAGATTTTCTCTGGTCCCAAATTAGAGACTGTGTTAATGTATATAAAATAGACCAAACCCGGATATAAGAGAAACCCGGATATAAGAGACTTCTTCTCCGGTCCCGACAACTCTCTTATATCCAGGTTACACTGTATAAACAATTGTCTTGTAAATGTAATTTTTAAAGCATTCTGAATGTAAAAATAAAGAAAAAAGTGTGCAAGACAATAAGAAACACTACCTGCCAAAAAAAAGTGAAGTTTTGTTGAAATCGGTTGAAAAATGTAGGAAATCCGATCCCATATATAAACGAACACACACACACACACACACAAACAACCTGGGTTTTTATAATAAGTATAACCTGATATGAGTTGTCCCCCTTTCATTCTGGTGACAGAATCGTGTTTTCAAATTGATTTCGTGCAAAAACAATTGTGTTTTTCCAATTTTTGGTGCTGTTAGAACCACCGCAAGGTAATTTTACGTAGTCCTGTGAAGTTTTGTTGAAATCGGTTGAAAAATGTAGGAAATCCGATCCAATATATAAACGAACACACACACACACAACCTGGGTTTTATAATAAGTATGATACATATATGAGTTTAGCTGTAATTTTTGTTAGTCTGCTACCATGTTACCCCTTTAGGGTAAGGATACTATCCCATGTTATTTTAGCTACAGCTGGTCTATGAGGCAACAAAGTAAATATTGGCTCCCTACTGAGTCTAAAATTCTCCTCCTATATGCCTATTATTTTTTTTATACATATTAATATACAGAATCTATTATAGTGTGAAATCTTAATAATCAGATAAAAGATAAAAAATAATAAAGTACTCAATATATAGCAGAGCAATTTAAGATCATATTAAAAAGAATAGTGTTATGAATAATCAAGTGTGGTCTCCCCTTGTTTTGTTACTCTCCTCTTTGAGAGAGCTATTTCTGTTTACTGGGATTATAAAAGGACAATATATGCAAACTTTGTATTCTCAGTTGAACAAAGCTTTCTTAAAGACTACACCTGTGTAGTTTTGTCATTACAAATAGTTTCCTGTTAATATTTATTACTTGAAGAACAGAAAAATTAAAAATAAAATCACATGTCATTTCTTAGCTTTCTGTATGAGTTGAGAACAAAATATTCTGAATTTTATTCAATTTTAGAAATCCTCAAATAATGACAAAGTCTTTTTTTTTGTAAGATTCTTTCAGATTTACCATTCTGTTTGCTTGGATTATAAAATCAGGTATACGATTATGAACCATTTATAACTATCAACAAAATAAATAACATGCAATATTATAATATTGGATGTGGGAAAGATAAATTTTTATAATAATTTTATCTTTATTAAAATTGCTTTATTTTTTACAATAATTTTCACCTCGTACAAGGCCCAAGAGCCATTCAAGGTAGAGGGTTACAGAGTAAGATTCACTGCTTATGAGAATATGTTGGTAAGATAACAGTTAAACCTAACCTAACAGTTCAGAGTGTAGTGATCAGGGGAACATCCTCTTGGAAGTTGGCTACATAAAGTAGATATTGCATGATCATGTAAATTTACTATGGAAGATTCTGAAATTGATGCACTTTCCATCCATTTTTGCCTTAATAAATCACTTTCTGACTTAATTAAATCTTCATTCTTTAAGTTGGAATTATGGTTAGAGCTATTATGCTGAACACTAAATGTATTTTATATTATAATAACTATGTTTTATAACTCTATTCTATTTGTTTTCTTTTTAGATACTGAGAAATTTGACAGATTTGGGTAGCATCCTGGCTACAATAGTTGAGAAAGACATCATTGTAAACATCTTCACTAATACTAAGGATCTTCTTGGCAGGAAAGCCGTGGGTATAACTGCATCTGGCAAAGTTTTAACTTTCAAGAAGAATAAAAAGATTCAACCAACCCCACTGGTAAGATATTTTTTATGTAGTTAACAGTAATGAAGGAAAGATTAAGTTTTAAAAAAATTTCTTGAATATTAAGAAATAAAAAAAGTAGTAATTCTTTGACTTAAATTTGATAATAAAGTAAAGATTGAATTATAGGTTTTAATTTGTGCTCAATAATATATCTTACATTTTCTCCACAGCAAACAGTTTGTAAAAACTGCCTTTTACAAATAAGCAAAACAAGCAGATTTAATGAGTGGAATAACAGAATAAGCAAAATAACAGGATTTAATAAGCAAAATAACAGAATAAGCAAAATAACAGGATTTAATAAGCAAAATAACAGAATAAGCAAAATAACAGAATATGCAAAGTAACAGAAATTAATAAACCAAATAAATGAATAAGTCAATAACAGAATCAATAAGCAAAATAGCAGAAATTAACAAGCAAAATAACAGAATAAGCAAACAGAAATATGCATTATAACAGAATAAGCAAATAACAGAAGTTAATAAGTAAAATAACAGATGAAGTAAAATAACAGATTAAGCAAAATAACAGAATAAGTAAATAACAGACTTTAATAAGCAAAATAACAGAATAAACAAAATAGCAGAATAAGTAACAGAATTTAATAAGCTAAATAATAGAATAAGCAAAATAGCAGAATTTAACCAGCAAAACAATGAACTAAGCAAAATAACAATTTAATAAGCAAAATTACATTATAAGCAAAATAGCAGAATTTAAAAAGCAAAATAATAGAATAAGAAAATAACAGAATTTAATAAGCAAAATAACAGTTAAGCAAAATAAGAGAATTAAAAAAGTAAACAAACTATAACAACCCTGTGTAACTAAAAACGACAAAAACATTGAAAAATAAAAATTTAATTTAAAGTGATTAAAAAACATAAACTCAATAAATAGATTGATCAAATACATATACTTTCGTTAAATTTAATATTATTTCAGTTTGCAAAAATAGAAATCTTTTATTTGCGTGTAGTAATATCACTTTTCCACTTTGTTTCGTGAAGAAAAAGCGCCTTTGTCTTATAGAGTTATCTCCCATTAATTGGTTTACAGACCAGAAATAACTACAAAAAGTAAATTCTATCGTAATTTTGTTAGCTTAAAACATTTCAAATACTCCATACAATCAGAAACATAAAATATTTTTTTTCAAAGAATAATGTTTCAAGTAGCATATTCCAAAGTATTTCAGATTGTCTTTACTTTACCTTCCAACACAAAGTAAATTCTAGATACATGATTTAGAGGAGAAAATGAATTTAATTTCTATTTCTATGCCCGAAGAAAATTTAGTATTAAATATGGGATAAAGACAAAGTTGTTTTTTATAAGCTTATTTTGATATTAGAAACACTCCACACAAAACATTTAAAAACAAAATAAAAATATATACAAGAACAGATTAAAAAAAAAAAGGAATAAGTAGTGATTTCCCATTTAAAGAAATTTTCGGAAGTACCAAGTCAGTTTCATGAACTTACAAAAAAAAATGCCACTGTTTATTTTTAATTTTCTTGGATTAAAATTTTCATCGTTCTATATATAAGCAAGAAGGATCTATTCAGTTCTTATGTACCGTGAGCGATCATGTCTCTTGTGGCCCTTAACATATTTTATTTTATTTTTTTTTTTTTTTGCTTTTATTAAGGCTCCTTCTTCATTTCATCATCCATTCACACAAGTTTGTCATGTATCTAATTTGCTTCGTTGCCTACCTCTATCTCTCTTACTTTTGATATTCGGGAAAAAAGTTTTTTTTTCCTTGTTCTTCATAGACTTCCCAATTAACCCCAATCTTACCCATTGATTAACAATAACATATTTCAGCATGAAAACCTGACTAATCATGATCAATTCATCACAAACCGAGAAGAAATACCAAATTTATGGTAATTAAGAGAACTTAATAATCCCGTCACCAACCTTCGATTTTATAGGACGCAGTGTGTTTTATATATATATATATTAAACTCCATAGTCTAATATATATATATATATATATTAAACTACATAGTCTAAATAAAAAGTTTAAATGCCCTACCCAATAATAAAAAAATTAAAAAAAAAACCTTTATGAAGTCGTCAAAAAAACAAATGTTAGCGAATTATGACAACAGTTTTTATATACACAAAACCCTTTCAGGAAAAATAAAATAAAAATAAATAAATTTCCATAGACACTTAACCAGACTAGACGATGTCATCTTCCGCTTTGAATCTAGAGACCCCAACCTTACCCTGACTTGACGTCTTTGAATGTAACTGAGATATTGATACAAATTATTAACCCTTATGTCCCCTTTTTTTTTTTTATAATTGCTCTAGCCGTTACCATAGTAATTTTAATTCTAATAATGAATATGCTTATAAAACGCGTAAATTTCAAGAATTAGTTATTCCAAAAAAAATTTCGCTTGAAGATGGAACAGAGCTTGATAATTTAATTCAAATAATTATATTGAAGTTTTCGGCTCTTGTTTTGAAACATGAGAACTGTTATGTAGCGATGGAATCATATTTTTAAATAAATAATTATATATATATATATATATATATATATATATATATATATATATATATATATAAAACAAAATGCATCTCATAAAAAAAAATACGGTAAAAATGAGCAACACCATTTCACCAAATTATTCTGCTGTTTTAGAAAGTTGTAAACGTGTGGTGCTGCCCTTGTAAATAATGAACTAATGGCAGATGATTTTTAAAAAAGTGCCGGGACATGGGACTGGGAGTTACCGGATCATGGAATGCTATTTTTAACAATTATCTTTATTCAATCAATAACCGTTTTAATTTTTTAATATGTATTTCAGTGTTTTAAATTTACAAAATTCACATTTTTTTAATCTACTCACCTTACGTTTCGATTGTTTGGAAGTCCGTGTGCACATTTAAAAAAAATGTAGATCATCAAAAATCAAAATAATCCCATAATTAACCAATTATATGTTCTTATAAATTTATAGGAATTACATAAGCTAACGCGGGATATTTCAATATATAATTAGATGGTTAGAATCGTATAAATAAAAATTGTTGAAAAATAATCAAAATTGCAAACGTTGCAACATTGACATGATTTTTCAAAAACGTTGTCGTGTAAATTTTGGGTTATCCGTCGCTACTTTTACTTTTTTAATTAATTTTCGAACTTTTTTACAAATACAGATGTGTAAAAATACAATTTTTTTTTCTTAAATTATATTTATAAATATTTAATCGTATTATTATGCGATAGCCTGCAGCATGGCGTCGAATGGGTCGACTCCATCGGGTAGCTGTCTTCTTCCCCATATGAACTCGGCTAGGTTCCAACATGGTGTCGTGCCGTTTCTTGGTGATGGCTGTTCATTCACTTTGATCTCCGCAAACGTTCGATATTCTGAGTGTGGACTCTGGTATCTGCATCAGCAAAATTGTATTGAACCTTGAAATATTGGAAGCCAGCCTCCTCCAGCTCGATAATAATAAAAAAAAAAAAAAGTGGCGACAGATAACCCACTAGTACCGAATTTTATAAATGGCTTTTTTGCCGTTGTTCAGCGAAGCATTCAAAATTAATTTAACGTGAGAAAATGCAAGCTCGCAGTTTTTCTTTAAAAATTAACGGCGTCTTACATTGATGAATTTATTTTATTTTGAAAAAATCTGGTACATGAATCTTTTTTTAAATAAATTGTTTCTCTCCTTGCAAAAGGGTCTCTTAGATTTTCATTTTTGTTTTCCTTGCATGAGAAAATTAAAAGAAATGCTAATTTCCTTGAAGCTGATTTCTTATTTCCTATTTCGAACAGATCGAGTATTTCTCACTGATAAAGAACACCAACGGAATTCTGTGGAATATTGAATCGATTCTAAGTCGAAAGCCAACTCAAGGGAAGATAATAAAGATTATAAATGAAGAATTTGAAAATCAGATTGCCACAAAGAAATGTCGTCAGTGCAAGTGTGTCACACCAAAACATGAACTGATGGGCAGAGTTCAGTGTACAAGTTCCACTTGCAACAAATGAGGCAACAAGAAAAACTAGTTCATCTCTAACCTGTGTAGATGATTTAATAAAAAAAAAACGAAAAAAAAAAAAACATTTGAGGGTGGAAGGACTCCATGTGTGTTTTTTTTATTTTATTTTTTTAGTTTTCTTGATTTTTCTTTACTTTTTTTTGCTGGATTTAAAATAATTGTAAAAAATTCTAATTATATGAGCATTAGAACTTCACTAAAATGAATAAGCTAATGATTTAAGCTAAGACACACCCACACACATATATGTTGTATAAAAATAGTCACTGATGTCAACACCAAGCAGCAACTGTCTATTTCATGCTTGAATGCAGTCTTCAGGCCATGACAATTGCATTCAGCCATGAAATAGACTGTCACCACTTTGTGTTGATATCAGTGTCCACTTTTTTTATTTATATTTACATTGAACATGATTACCTATAAATATGGCATACATTTAAAACTATTTTATTATATATATAAATATTGCACAGTGAGTTCTAGTGTTAATAAACATTACTTACCATATGATAACAGAGCTAAAATTTATACTAATAATAAATATGTTTTGTTTATATGGGAAAAAATGATATATAAGTTTTATATACCAGAACAATGTTAGAAAAATTCATAACAAAATGGAACTTTGTCATTAATTTTCATATATTATATATATATATATATATATATATATATATAGGAAAATTAATGAGAAAGTTCGACTTTGTTATTAATTTTCCTAACATTGTTGTGTATATAAAACCTATATATCATTTTTCCACACACACACACACAGATATATATAATGATATAACAATACATAATTTTGTATAATTTCATATATCAACAAACTATTTAGAAAATATTATGACTAAGTGGACAAAAGTTTTTTGCGACATGTTTCATCTGATGAAATTCTAACAGATGAAATGAGTCACAAAAAACTTTTTTCCCATTTGTCATATTTTTCTAAATATATATATATATATATATATATATATATATATATATATATATAAATATATATATATATATATATATATATATATATATATATATATATATATATATATATACACACACACACATATATATATACCCTGCAATGCATATGTGCAATATCGCTTCTTTTTTTAATTTCTTTTTTCGCCATCCACTTTGGAAATGTGATGTCTTTAAATTGTAAACTGCTGTTTTTACTTTTCTTTGACAAACATTTGTCAAGTGAAGTCACTCCAGAATTCAAATAAATTTATATGCACCAAATGATGTATAAAGATATGCATATATTCATAAACTTTGATAATATGCATACCATGTAACTACACACATACGCACAAATGTTAAGAACACACCCACATGCATAAATATATATGTATGCACCTTCAAGCACAATGCACTAAGCATAACTGTAATTGACTGAATGTACATATATATATATATATATATATATATATATATATATATATATATATATATATATATATATATATATATATATATATATATTCAAACATGAAATGATGGTAAAAGTATTGAATAATAATAATAGAAACAAAAAAATCAAAATAATTTAATTTTGATAAACTGAAAGGGAAGAAAGTTTGATAAAACATTTATTTAATACAACATAAATACAAAATACAGAAGATTTTGTTCTTTTTGCCATACAAATTAAAATATTTTTTAGTGTCCATAACTGAATTTTATAAAAATTATAGAAATAAAATAAAGCAAAGATGATTTTTATTTCCAATCATCTCATTTATTTTACATTTTTGTGTGTGAATTTGAAAAAATATATTTTGTATTAAATAAACATACATTTGTATTCCAATTGTTTTTATTCAGTTATTTCACATCTAATGAACAGGCAGCTTGAAGTAGAGAAACACTGAACATGGATTATTGGTAAGCCAAGAAATTACATAGGGATGTTTCTTTATTTCTTCTTTGAATACAAATTTTCCATTTGTTTGTATAGCATTTGCTGGCACCACTATTACTACTAACGGTTCATGGGATGAATTCTTTCCATCTCCTCCCTTTTATTTTGTAGGGTACTAGATAAGAGTACATATAATTCATCCACTATGGGTTGTCTGTTGTTGAAGTTCACGGCTGACTTTTTGAGCCTGAGAATTCATTGGGAGAGGGAGGTCATTCTGAAGTACTTAGGCTGAGAGGAACCTTAGGAATATTTTAGTGGATCAGTAGTGAAGATATTTAAGCCTGGAAGCAAGCAGGATCTGTTGACTTTCTGAGACCCAATCTAATGACTGAATGCACCACAGAACAGGTAAAGGTGTGTACATTCTCAGCTGTATAGTACACCATCCAAGGTCAGCACCAAAATGAGAGGAACTCTTTACAATGTTATTAGAAAAACTATTCTCCAAAGGTTGTTACAAATATCTAGAAAATAATGAGCAAGTAGTAGTTATTGGCCTAGGACATGGAGTTAACAAGGTAAGTACAAGTTTTTATACAATTATACAGACTGATAATTTAAGTCATTGAGTGTTTTACAGTAGGGGCCCTGTGTGTGTGAGGTATTTTGGTGTATGTAGGAGTGAATAGTGATGGATAGATTCTTATAGTGAAAAAGTAAATTGTAACAAATGAATGGGTCATGGATCTGATTAGCTAGGTATAAGTCAGTGTCGACCAGCTTTGACCGATCTCCCCTCTTTTTTGGCCTTGTACCACAATTACTGTATTCAATCAGTATTAAATCATAGGCAAATACAAGTTCCAGTCTTGTCTGTTATTTTTATTCAACTATGGATAAAATCTGCCTCTTTTATATGTCATGTTCCTTAAGAAAGTGGACGATCATGGATCTCCACAACTTCCTCTCTTTTGTATCTAGAAAGGAATGTGCAAATAGTAGAATGGTGATTGGCCTGGAACAAGCTCCAATCTAGTCTGTTGTATTCATTCAACTATGGGTTAAATCTTTTTTTTATGCGCCATGTCCCTTCAGAATATGGACAGTCATGTTTCTCCACAACTTCCTGTCATTTTTGACTCAAAATAATGTTTTCTCTTTTCCCATTCCAGCAATGTTTTAAAATATTTTAATTATAATTCTTTAAAAAAATTTACAAATATAAATTAAGTTACCTCCCTTGATAACGTTAACTATATTAAATCAAAGAATGTATTTCATGTACATTTACAAAAAAAATCATAACTATCAATGACATTAATTTTTTTTATTTTAGCAATTCTACCATCAAGATGACCTTGAATGAGACTGAAAGTACTTGGGGAAATAAAAGAAATGAGAAAAACTATGGCGGTTTACATAATGAATTTAATGGTAACATTAAGAAATTGATCCACGAATTTGAGAGGATTAACATATATATATATATATATATATATATATATATATATATAAACACTTTTAAAAAATTTTATTACTAAAGTTCACCTAATAAAAAGTTTAAGTCTGCCTCAAGGTAGTACAGATGCAAAAGAAGCCCTCAAACCAGGTTTCTATCAACTGTGTCCTGTCAATAAAACCAGTAGTTGGCAAGACTTAGCATCTTGTGAAGTTGTCCCCTTGGATATTTTTGTTCCTCAACTTGTGTGCCACTCACTGTGCTGTGGTTTTTGAGGCATTATTGTTGTGTTTCCTCCCATCTCTTTTCCTTCTCTGCCTGTTATCACATAGTTCTTGGGAGTGTAATCGGTTCAGTGTTTCCCCCCAACCTGAAAACACCTTTGCCATATTTTACAATGGGGTTACTGAATGAAGTGTATGACATAAATGTATGAGGTAGAAAGAAGGATAGATAATGATTGATGAATTTAAGATGGCAGTGTTTGAGGAAGCATCCACATAAGAGTCTGTTCCACAAAATAGCCACTCTTGGCAAAAACTGAGTGGAACTTCCACCTTACAAATGGAATATTGAGGGAATGTTGGTGATTTGACTTATATGCCTTCACAGAAAACCAGCATTTAACTAGGTCTTTTAGAAGGAACAATACATTGATGTGAACATTTTTGGAAGAAGTTAAATTGAATAACAGTATATTAGTAAATATAAATATACAATGTGTGTGTATGTATTTGTGCCCATATAGGTATGTGCATGTAAGTGTCAGTATATCAAGTTCTTATATCAGTAAAGATAGTTATAACATATGTGTGTGTATGTATGTACACGTGCACATATAGGTGTGTGCATATGCACGTAAGTGTCTATATGTCAAATGCTATAATGTCATTAGGATGTAAAGACCATGGAAAGTGCATCTTTTCTTGTAATTATTATTGACAATAAATCCATCCATAGGCAGTACAGTCTCAAACTCTCAAGCAGCATCATGTAGCTGCAAAGTCCAATGTGTGGCAGACACAACCACAGATGTTGCATGTAAAAAGTTATCCCAATTATTTTCATGAAGTTGTTCTGCTCTCCTACTGCTTGTACCTCTTCCTTGTTCTCTTGGCCTCTTTGTAATAAACCAAGCAGATTGATGAGCCCACATCAGATTGACTGCTGACACTGAAGATGGTGTTGAGTGGTGTTTTCTCAGGTGATAGTGTTGATATTAAACAAATATCCTTAAATTGACAATATGTACAGCCAATTTTTCTCTTTCCATGTGAAAGTTTTGCAGAGACAATGTCATTTAGAATTCTTCCATCAAATATTCTCTGGATATGGTCAGTAGTGATGTTGATGCCTCAAAAACTGAGAAAAACTGTGATCTTTCAAGGACTGATTTACAATAAATAATTTTCCATTTATTCATTGATTTACACAAGTTTTCAAGTTAATTTTAATTCATGATTCCATCACTTATATTTGAAAATGACAGCTGGAATTTTGGGGATAAATCAAGAAAAAAAAAGGTTTGGAGAATTTAACACTCACAGATCATATTGATGGCAAGAGAAGCAGTAAGTTTCCTACTTGACAAGTCTGAACAAATAGATGGCAAAACACAAAAATATTAACAAAATATATTCTTAACCAATGTTAATTA